TCTCCTTGAAGCAACCTGGATAAAATATTTCCCCTTTCTTTCCTTCCTTCTGTTGATGTTTTTATTCTACCTTAGGAGCATTTTTTTAACAAAAATGTTAAGCAATGTTATCGCTACTATTGCAAATTGATAGATGTGCCATAATGCAAAAACCCTGTGAGACAGTCCCTGTGCTTCTGAAAACATTTTAAAGGCGTCACAGTGATTGTTAAGTAGGCCATTATGGGTGTTCAAGTTTTTTAAAATGTATTGATTTAAATTATGTATGTTAATGCACCTATCAACATTACAAATGTAGTTTGCAGCAAACTACTTATAATATATGAATGATAAGCCATAAATAATAACTGTGGCTGTAAATTAAATTACTTGATTAAACTGCAAAGATGCACTCTAATTTGGAACAGAAAATTACTTTGAAGTGATTTCAGCAGCTGATAATCCTTTTAGAGTAGCAGAGTTTTATGAGCCATAGTCATCTTTAAGTCAAGCATCAAACTTTCTGATGGATTTTACCCACTAGCCTGGTTGGCTGGGTATTGCTATGCCCTGAATGCAATGGATAAGACAGATTGGCAAAATCTGTCTTTGTCAAGAAGACATTTGTTAAACAAAATGTGGAAGTCCTTTAATGAATTCTTTTTTGATAGAATTTGAATAACCTTGGTTCGAGTTTCAGCAAGAGCTAAGCCCTTAGAAGGACCTGAATTTCGAGAGACAGCAGAGACCCATTGCCTCTAAAGGCAATACTTTGGAATTTCTGAATATGAACAAAGAAACCAAAACCTGGAGCAGAATTTAATATGAGGCTCTGAAATACAAGCTGAGCTGAAATGCGATGTTTAAACTCTACTACCATCATGTCTTACATTGCTACTATAGTAGATTAGATTCTGGACCAGTTTCGATAAATAAGATCACCCAAAATAACTTACCAAACATGGACTACTATACCCAAAAGCTGCTTTGATAGTTTGCACATACCTAAATGGAAAAGGATGAAGTCGTGGAAAAGTACAGGAGAGCTTGTGTTCAAGGAGCAGTGAGCCTTTTCTGTATTCCCAAGTGAAGCACTGCACCTGCCTTAGAATCACAGAGTGGGATTGCGAAGGCACATGTAATTGCTCAAGACTTCCCTGGAGCTCAGGGCAGAGGTAGCACTGCTGTATACCCATAGAGAGGCTCCTTCTCAAACCCTCTTGGTCCTGAGGACTCCCTAGACACTTGCTGAGGCATGTGGATCCCTTGGGGACTGTAACTTGTGAGCTTCAACTTTAGGGTCACCATTAACATATCCCAGGCAAGGGCACACCAGCAGTGATCCATCTGGGCTGGGTGAACAATCAGATTTCTCATTACAAAGTGACAACAAGGAGACACAGATAAACAAAATATAAGAACAATTCCACTTTAAGACCTGTGGGTTGCTTGGGTGCATTTATTTTTTGATAATCCAGTATCTCTAAATGTCCCAACTATTGTAGCTGGGGTTTGGGGGCCACCTTTTTCTTCTGGGTTCTGACACTAGATCTCAACTTGTACATTTGTTGCTCTGAAGCCAATTTCTAGGCACTTTGAGTGTTGGTTTGGGTTTTTTCCCCTTTACTCAAAACTCTTTCAGATGCCTCATGCTCCTGTGATACACGATCTCACCGTCTCCCAGAATCTGCATTTATTAGAGTAAAGGGAACTTAATTGTTTGATCTCTCAGCCTGATATTACAAATCATTCAACAGGAAGATTTGCATTTTTAATTACATTTTGATTTCTCCTCTGCAGGATCTGGTTGGGCAGCATTGGTTCTACAAAGGAAGAAATCAGAAATTTGAAAAGCTTCATCAGTTTGGTGAGTTCCAGTTTGGATGGTTAACAGCATAGGGGCAATGTCTGGTGTGAGAGGAGGGAATGTGCGGCATGAACGTATCCTCTCCATATAGGACTGGCTTGCCTTCTTGCTCCTTCCTCCTCACCAGCACATGGGTGATCTCCTCAGCTTCATGTCCTTCCTCCTTCAGTGGCAGCTCCCCTGGATTCTTCTGTCCCATGAGGAGGGTAAGGAGGAGGAAATCCCTATGGTCCTGATGTCCTTCTGCAGCAACACGGGCACTTTTCCTCTTGCTATCTCCTGCCATGCCATATGGAAGCTTTGTTCTTCACCTTCAGTGTGGGATGAAAGGGATTAAGGAGGCAGAACAGATGCCTTAGGATATAACCTTAGGTGTATCCTTGTTATACTGTTGGGGTCTTCATCTGCTTCCTCAGCAGCCACTGCAATTACATCACAGACACCTGTGGCCCCAGCAACCAACCTGGTGTCCTGAGACTCCCCTCCAAAAAGTAGCAGTATTTCAGGCAGTGCTTTCAGAGGAGAGCTGAGCCAGGTGTCTGAATGAGGAGCTTAGTCTCCAATGAGATTCTAATGCAAACACCCCAAATTGGTGCTCATTTTTTCTTCTGCTTCTGGGTCACAGTAGCACCACTTCCCTCCCCTGTTATGTTCCACAAAATCCATGTTTTTCAATGCTGTCTGTCAGACTACTGTTGAGGATGAGGAAAATAGAGATTTCAAATCCACATTTGCTCAAAGGCAGATATTTATGAAATAGTGTACCTGCCAATTTTGCCTTGCTGTTTCATTTCATTTGCATTGTGTCACTGTGACTAGAAACTTTTCGTGACCATTCTTGGCCATGAGACACAGATCTCCTGGGAGAGCGAGTTTAAAGTCTCAACTGCTGAATTATGCAAGTTATAGAAATATTGCAAATTATTCTGGTATCAACATACAGATCTGCATAAGCCTGACACTGCAGACTTTCTTTAGGTCAGCTGTTGGCCTTTTAGATGCCCTACGGCCTGTTTGCTATATATACCTGTGTACCTGCCCTTGGGGCTTTGGCACAAGGTAAGGCAGAGAGGTGACCAGCTGCACAGTCCCTTCTGGGCCAGTGTCAGTTGCTTTACACCACAATATTTATACATTTTATCTTTAAGGAATACACTGCAGAGAAACTATTAAAACAATATTTCAGAAACTTCGTTTCAACAGCTTTCTGCAATGAAATTTTTGTTGCAGAACCTGGTGTCTTGCCTCTGTTTTCTGAGATCTGGAGGTAAATTATACTGTTATAATGAAACCTATCTATGTCAGATTGATGATGGGTTGAGGAGAGTAGGTTTGAGATCCACGATGACATAGATGAAGACATCTGAGAGATTTACAGTGACTAGCATTGCTTCAGTCTCAATTTCATTTGAACCATGTCAATCGTACCACGCCACAAAAAGCTCCAAGAAATTTCATGGAGAAACATTTTTCTCCCTCTGTGAAATGCATCACCCTAGAATCCATTATCCTGGGACATCCCAGGAAACTAAGAGAAGGATGAATCCTAAATCTGACTTGTTTTGCTGTTATGCATAAGTGACACCTCTTGCCTGGCAGAGACACCTGGAATGCCTGTCCCTGGCTCAGGACTGAGGTTCCTTCGTAAGGCCAAGCTTGCCTGCAAGAGGAAGTAATGGCCACAAAACAGGTGATGTCTCTGCTTACAAAGCAGCTTTTAGATCTAAATCTAAGCATCTTTGTCTATATTAGGTCTTTAAATTACCTAAATCTAGATATGAGGTGTCTAAATTTTAGATACAGAGAAATATATACATGTTTCTATTTATATTTAAAACTTTCATTGATTGATATTTCTGATATTCCTTTCTCATGTCAGTATTTTACAAGTGTATTTGAAAGTATGTTCTAAAAACAAGATAATTATCTGTTGTCTTTGGTTCTGTCTTAGGAATTGAATGATATCTTGATTCTCCATGAGCTTTTGACTTTGAGGATTAATATTGATCAATACCAATCAGTAAACAATGTTTTTTTCCTACAATTTCCTTAGAAACTGGTAAAGAGACAGTTTAAAGCAATAGCTGTCAGCTGCTAGTGGGTTACACCCTGACTCACTCTGATAGTCTAATTTCCACATTAAAGGATTCAAAATGTTAATATTACAGATCAAACAAATATTGTTTATATTGAAAGATGCCTACTGACATCTGATTAAGATAATGATAAATCTTTCTAGCAGACAGTGAAGGGGTCAGCACCTCATGCTTTAACACATGAGCCTTGCTGGGTACATGTGCAGCTCTGCTGAAGAACCATTAGGAATCAGAGGAACCTGGAGTTTGTCTGTCTCTGAGGTGTGTGTGGATTTGGATGCTGTAATTTAGAGTTCACAGGCCCAAAATTTCCCCTGGCTCACAGGGCAGCTGTTCTTTGCCAGGTTCTTTGTCTAAGGCTTGCAACCCCTCCACTCACTTCAGGGGTTGCTTGTCCTGCCCCAGCTGCTCTGCTTTGGAAATCTGCAGTCTCTCAATGAAAGCCACCCTTCCCATTTCTCTGGGGAGATCAGACTGGTTGAGCTACCACATCATTACTCTGATCCTATGCCAAAATACGGATTCTTACTTCAAAAAGTGGTCACTTTAATAATAATGATGTACTCCACTACAGACATTTACTGGAGTCAAATAGGCTACAGCTACATTGTGCAAGGGCTGAGGCTCCCAGGCTCTGCTTGAGGCTAATTTCAACACACATCTACTTTCCTTATCTAAACAAGTGTCCTTGGAGCAGGGTCTGATGCAATTTACTGGTATTCCCAGGTGTAGCTATTACAGAAAACACCTTTGGAGTTGAAAGTGAGATGTTGGAGCCTAAATTGTGCTCTAAATGCAACTCACCTCAACACAGAGGTGAAAATTTGGAAGAGTTTCTCTACAATGAGTGCTAAATAGACAGGTTGTATGGAAAATAATAATTTCCTTATTTCTTTCCCAGCAAAATTTCCCTTTTCAGATAATACGAGATGTAGGACATAAGCAATGAACTGGTCAGTCAGTAGGCTTAGAATAGAAATATTTATTTATACAGTGTAATTATTTGCTGAAATATATTGTCACAAAATTTTTGCAGCCATAACCAAAATAGTTTTTAAAAGCTGTTGGATGAATTATTGGGAAAAAAAATTCCTCCCTTTCTCTCAAACACTACGATCTGCTACCATCTGAGTCAGAAAATTCCTATGCCACAGATTGCCAGAAGCTTGGATGACATACCATACTTGGAAGAAAAGTGTCAATGCGTGCTTCCTCTGTTACTTTATACTTCTTTTCTTCAGCATTTGCTATTGGCCTGCATGGATGAGGTAAGATCAACCTGTTATGTGAACATGGCCATTTTCACGTGCAGGTAGATTTCTTGAAAAACCTTAAAATTCAGAGATCAGTAAAGACACTAAAGAAGCTTTTTGTTTTTAAAGACATGGATGAGAAGATATGAAATGTGGTATATTGTGAAATCCTTATCTTTGTAAAATATGAAAAGAATGCAAAGCGGAGCTTAAACAAGTGTAAACTACTCTTGATGTCTTTGAAGATTGTGGATAGGTAGTTTTCAGTTGGACCTCATGCAGCACCCACATAATTATTAATGTATGTGCTCAATGAATTGACCTTGCTGAACTGCCAAACTGCAAAGTACAGAGCAAATAAACTAAAAGCCTAAGGGAATTTAGGGAATTTACAGTAATGTAGTGTCTTTCTGTAACCTCTGTCCTGCATTCCAACCCAAAAACCCCACTGAAAGAATTTCATCATTTTGGGTGAATTAATCTTTAAATGAGGCCCTTTGACACTGTCTTAATAACATGAAAAATAGCTGGAGATCAAAAGTAACCTAAGTAATCATTAATTTTCTAAATGAAGGTTAGAAGGGCAGTTTCAGAGCCATTTTTTCCTTTATCCTACTTTTCTGGTATTAATCAGCCTGTCCTTTGGCTCAACTGCGTGGGCATTAAGAGTATCCTATTACCATTGCAAATAAATGGAGCAATCAAAAAAAAAAATCTTTTCCACCTACATCATATAAGCTCTGTGAGACAAAGACTCTTTTCTTGGTCCCGTATTTCAACAGCGCAATAGAACTTGATTCCCAAATGGTTGACAAAAATTATTCTAGGTGAGGACAGTTTATTAAGTTTTTCTCCTTATTCTTTGCCCTTAAGATACGGCATTGGAAATCTACAGTACTGAGTGCAGGCATGGTAATTCACATCTTTATTGTAAGGGTTCACTGTTTGCTATTTAAAAATTATAGCAAATATCTGATTATAGACTTATGGATTGTTGTCCAAACCTTTGGAAGAGTATCTCTGTGTCCCCAAGCAATACTTTTTTACCCAGCTCTCTCATCTTCTCTCTCCAAGAAGTGCCAAATGGATTAAAAGTGGGGCTCTTAAGATATGTGCCTAATGAATTGCTGTGTTATGTCTCTTTTTTTCCTGGAAGAGAAAAAAACAAATATTGCAGTTTGAGTTAGAGGCAAGTTATGATGTGCAACAACTGTGGTCTAGATGAGTTGAACAGCTTTGCCTGGTCACAAGACAGAAAAGATAAAAGAGGAATAGCAGTGAAATTATCAGCTGGTGAAGCAGAGCTTTTGGCTAAGAGGAAAGATCTCTTTAGAGAACACTGTAGCACCTCAAGGCTTGACTAAAAAGACTAATATTATAGGCTATATGCTTTTCATTTATTGTATTAAACCTGTTCAGCAGCAACAGATTGTTAGACCTGTGCATGGGATTAGTTTCATATGGAGCTGTTATATTTTAGACTCCTAAAAGCAAAACCCACTTGACATCTGGGAGAAAAGGGCAGCAAATATATTATGAAATTTCATTAATTCAATAGAAGTAAGGGTTCAACTAAAGGTGAAAAATAATCATGTTTTAAATGTCAATGGGTAGTATAGCTTATTACAGTATTACTTTACTCCTGCTTTTAATAGGGTATCACTGCTATTTTCAATTGGGTTGCACTAATGTAACTGGGAAACAGAGCCCTTAGGCTGCTTTAATTTATAGTAGGATATAAATTATTTGGAGATGAAATTCCATCAGTTTAATGACACAGTGTCAAAAAGTTTAAGCTTCATCCATGAAAAATACAGATTTTTCTATGTACGAATGATGGTGCTTTTATTCAAGTCTGTATTTCACAGTATGTCAGCAACCGATACGAAGAGAAAAGCACAGATTTCCTTGTGCTCAAAATCAAGCCCATCAATTCTATCAAACAACTCTCATCTGCCTTCCTCCTCTCGGCTGAGGAGGCTCAGAAACACATGGAAAACCAAGCAATTGTCTATAAGTAGAATATAATAGAAGCTGGTAATGAAAATACGGCTCATTAGCCATTTTCCTGTCCTGGTATCTTCACAACTTTTCTTGGTTTGTATTTCACAACTGATGGCCACACTCTGGTTACATTCCCAGTGAATTTTACATAGGCCTATTCCAGCAGTCTGTGTAATTCAATGACACTTTAGTATTTGCTTTAGTCCAGCCAATTTCTACACCTAGATCTGACCTAGACGAACTTTCCAACTCCTTAGGAAAAAGCTTCTATGATTTAAATGTGTTCTGGTAAAAATAATCAGCTAGCAGAATATTCCCTCATTGCTATGGAGGTTACAATGCTCCATAGGTTACAAGATCATTCACCAATCTTAACTAAATGACAGCAATAATTAATGAAGGCAAAATTGCATTGAGTAGGATAGTCACCTTCAGTACAATTAAAAAGAAACCTTCTGGTACAAAACAAGAGTCATGCTACTCCTGTTCTCCCAAGCTCTGCTGCAAATGTAGGCTGACAGGTTAATAAAAGCATTTCTTAACAGTTGTAAGAAATCAGCCATCTGATTCAAGAATTCTCTTCCTCAGTTAACTTATGATTCAGCTACTGAAAACTTCAGTTTCCCATCTGTAAGATTACAAAATTGAATGAAAACAATATTAATATTTATGTTCTAAATAGAAAAGGCTTTCAAAGCACCTTCATGAAGTGGAAAATAAAAGCAGAAGTTTATCCAAAACTTTCTGGCATTTTACATATTTAAAATTTATCAGCCCTTGGTGCCAGGATTTGTCGGCTGAAGAGCAGGAGATTGTATTTTATATTATAAAAGTTATTAATGCGGGTGGATAGTAATTTAACTTTTATATAATTTGAATGGTAAGTCTCTATTATGTGGGTCAGTTAATTTTAGCTACAGTTCATACTGTTAAGAATCTGTATTCCAAAATTGCCCACAGGTGGGAAAAAATGTGTTTATTTGGTCTGGTTGAAATGTTTCATGATGGTAGTGTTTATGTCCTATATAAAGATCATTCAACAGAATGTGTGTGCATGTGCACACACAGAGGTACTGGTTAAAATTACATGTATATGTAAACACAGTGAACTTCTTTCTTTCATATACGGAGTCTCATTTCTAATTAATGATGTTGCTTTCTTATGCATAAAATCCAAGACTTTATAAAGTTAACAGTATAAACTTGACAATCGTTAGAAGTAGCTGATGGAAATTTAAACCTTTTGTTTGAAACAATTTCAGAAGTCCTTATGCATGCAATGCTTTTTTGTATTGCAGCCTACCAATACTTCCCACTTCCCTGATATATGATCCAAAATGGGGACACCGATGCATCCAACTGCTCAGATGGCCTGAAGCATTACCCTCATTTACCCAGTGAGAGAGCATGCAAAAAAGGAGCAGCTTCAACACATTTTGTTCCTCCCATTCTCATAACAGCACAGGTTAAACTTATATTATTACATTAATTTGCAGTTCAAGAGAGAAAACCCATCCTTTAGGCAAGAAGCATCAAGCCCAGTGCAGGAACTGACTCTCCAGGCAGTACAAGCATAAGTGGCCTGAAATACCTGGACATTTGAATTCAAGCATCCCTATCAACATCAAATCAAAAGTAGTGACAGATACTTGTGTGTAAAAGCTGAAACAATTTTTTCCTTTTTGCATATTGGAAAACCCCACCACCACTGCACCAGGTGGCACAAGGCAGAAAAAACCCCAACAGTTTACTTACAGTTTCCGTGTACAGAACTGGGTGCAGGAGAGAAAATTCAGGATGGGAAGTCCTGATGAAAGTGATGAAAAGATAACAGATTTCTTTCAAAAGATTACTATAGTTTCAAAACTTAATTTTGATCTTAAGTTGGGGGGAAGGAATGGTGCAGATCTTTGGGGTGGAAAGAGTGAGATTTGGGGTTGCTTTTTAACTGTGTTACAGTAGTGATGCTCTGCTACCTTACTGGAAAAAGGAACAGCCCTTTCTTCTTTATCTGGATTACTAAAGGAATTCTAATTTAACTTGTAATGTATATGACTGCTGTATAAACACAACAATGAAGATGAGAAGGGTCACTTGTGTTTATGCACATTAAAAAAAAAAAAAAATCCCATGACTGACCAGGAGAATAGGATTGCACAAATTTCTGAAATATGCATTTCTCCAACATTTCGTCTGTGGATTTGTGCAGTGGACAACAACAGACTCACTCTCAAAGTGGTGGATGTTGTTTTCATAAGGCACTCATTTTTTTTACTGCTGTGACTTGGCACCATCATGTGGCCACTTTTGAGTTTGCTCAATTTAAGTAGCAACTTACACAGAAAATCATTTGCAGTTAATTAATTCGAATTTACAAATATTTCAGTCTACTTTATATGGAGATTATAAATATTTTAAATATATATGTTCACTAAATACTAAAGTAATTGTCTTCCAATTGTCCTTTTTTTCACTGAAACTGTGTTTGTTTAATCAAGGTTTTCCTCATGATCTTTAAGCCAGAAGTTGTTAGGTTACAAAAGATATTTTCAGTGCTTGGTTTTGATCCAAACTTTATCAATAGTGTACAAAAATTAGTATCATATGATAAACAGCTATCCTCAGTACAAGAGCTTTGGAAATTATTTGCAGGATTAAACAGGTCAGTATTTTCTGGTTTACATCAGAAATCCCAAAGGATTTAGAATGTCAGTAAATCTCCCAAGCATATTGTTCACACAGTGTGATCCAAATAGGTAGTAGACATCTCAGAACCTGAGTTACTCAGGTATTCCTTTTGCAAAGTTTCAGGGTCAAAAACAGAAGTAAGGTATTTGTGATGTAAATTTGTATTCTGATATGTTTGCATAACACTTTTAGGTAGGTATAAGAAAGTTTTATCAAGCACTACTGTTCAAAAGGCCCAGAGGCGGAAATCTCCTTACACTCAGTTTGTACAGAGGCACAACTTTATGCTCGTTAAAGGATTGCTGTGATTTAGTTCAGAGTGGAATAATGAGAAACAACCATGAAATTTATAAGAATACATTTTCACTATTTTTAAAAAATACATATACATTTAGAGTTCTTTCAATAATGAAAAACAGTTCATCGTATTTTTGAGTACAATAATGGTAAGTTTTATTCTGACATTTTTATGATAAAATATATTGTTTCCATTGAAATATTGTATTGATATTCTTTAAAGTATATACAAGTTATATACAAATGCAAAATTACAAATATTTTAATTGCAGACAAAAATAATCTAGAAATTTTGCAATAAATTGTACAACCCTCTTTCTAAAAAGACTGCAATAAAATAGAATGCAGTTTGTCAGATTCTTTAGGCTGAGGTGATGCCCACTTCTTCTTTACATACTGAATGTCTATCTGGCCAGGTTCCTTGGCCAGCACAATGCCCAACAATCCATTTGCTTTTTCTGGTTCTCCCAGCAGAGCCATAGCTACAACCCTGAAATCAGAAGAACAGCGGAGTGGTTTTCAACCGAGGCAAAATTAATAGAAATTGGTGCTTTCAAACATGTTACTTACAGTCAGGTAAGTAACCAGGTTACTTACAGTCAACTAAATGATTCATTTTTTCTGCTAAAGTCCCAGCATATTCTTTACCTTTTCACCAGTTGCAATAATTTAACGTAAATCTAACATGCAAGTCTTCCACCATGCATTCCACTATCAATTTCTAATCATGACTTGAAAATTATTTCAAGCTTGTAAAAGCGAATAATGTTTTATGGCATTTTCCAGTACAGTGTAACAAGTTTTAAAATTTTACTATTTTCTCCCAAAACTAGCAGCACTTTGCTATAGCTCACAAGGATACAAGGGAAACTTTCAGTTGGAAGGACATTCACCAAGGGTAACTTAAGCCTAGGGAAGACAGAGTCCCCCAGCAGGACACCCATCAGGAAGGAATCTTCAATGCTTTAATTCAGTGAGGTTGAACAAAGCTGCTGTTGTGCATCAATCTACAGGTTACCAGGTCTCTACCCTGGCTCCAGGAACAGCATTGTGAGACAACCCTGGTGTTCTCTGTGGTGAATATGTGCCAGGCAAAAATATTCTTGTTTACTTTGTGACAACGATCACAAAGTATTTCTTTAGATTGGTAATCATACCATATAAAGGCATTTTAAAATGTTGTCCAACATCTTGCCTATTTTGAACTTAAATGAACTTAAAATCCAGTGATTTTAGTGGGAACAAAATTTTTCTCTTCATATAAGCAGCAGCTGCTCCTTGTAGAGACATCTGTCCCATCTGGTAACACTATGCCTGATTTTGATTTATACTAACAGTACTTCTCCTTTATCAGACTGCATAAAATAATAAGTAAATAAAGATAAACTAAAATTTAGCTTGCTATAGTTTGTTTCCACACCGTCAGTAGTTTACAAAACACAGTTAGAAAAGCAAACTCTAATGAATATTTAATGCCAAGAAAAAAACCCATGTAATAAAATTAATATTTTGTCAAAAAGAGAGCAATGCAATGCACTTACTTCTCTGATGGAATAGTCTCCTTTGCCACAGGCAACAAATCATTTTCCAGAAGATCCCAAATGTAAATATTAGATGATGCATCGAGGGCAAAGAACACAGCAGGTCTTGTTAAAGCCCACTGCAGGGCAATAATGGGCTGGCCATTTGTGCTGTCATTCCACTGCATGACAGGATACTCTGATGTCATCTGATGTAATCTAATGCTTCCATCAGAACAGCCAACCTATACCACAGTTAAAAAAAATACCTTCTGGAACAAAACAAACTAAGCAAGATAAAAACTGCTGTTCAACTCTTGAGAATATCAAGCACATAAATAAAATTAGATATCTGCCTCAAGTGGCACATGTCTCTCATATCTCACTCTATGGACTATCTGGATTTTAACTGTTGTATTTATGTATCAATTTGTAATTCTGAGTTCAAAAGCAGTCACTCTGTACCACTGTATGTAAGCAAACTAGAGTATCCACTAATCCTGGGTTAAGTTGTGAAGTTCCCAAACTTCACTAATACTATCATCCAGCACAACGTGACAGCAGTCTGAACTGGGGCAAGGGCTACTTAGTGCCACATGTCCTCTGTAAAAGGAAGAACAGCTTTCAATAGGACAGGTTGTGTTTAATACTATAATAATATTAAACTGATTCATAATAAACAACTAATTCCAAAGACAGGGAGACACCACTGCTTCCAGGTATTTTCTGATAACATTTGTCTAACATTTACAAGTTTGCTCTAATCCATGTACAAAAGAAAATATTCTGTGAAAACAGAAAATAACTTCTACTTACAATCCTGAGTCACCTCTACATCAGGAAAACCTCCTAGAATTTTCAAATTATATTAAATTTTTACAGTGACTCTGTAAATAGTGCTTACATTTAAAATCTCCGTGGCAGATTGGAATTAGTGATGTAAATCAATTATCACAAATATATCAAATTAGAAATACTCCCTCAGCAAGTAATTAAAAAATGAAACTTCTATTAAAACTTTTTCATACCAAAAATAGTGGCTTTCCAAAAGGGAAGAAATCAATTGCAGTGATGCTTATTGATCTCAGTCCACTCTCCTGGGGCCTGAATAGCTTTGGAACAACTTTTAAACCATGTCTTGTACCATGGCCTACCAGACCCTATGAACAACATAAAGAAAATTAATTAAGAAAAAAAAAAAAACAACCAAAATTTGCATTAGAGGTATTACAAGAGGAAGTTAAATAATCCACAGAGCTGTTACCTAAAGGATCCTTACTAGCTAACAAATTTTAATAGCTAACAGATTTTAATAATAGGCTCAAATTATAAATTTTATATACAGCCTCCTGGTGAAATTCCAAATAAATGGGAATCTTCCAAAACAAAAAATAACAATCAGATGAATTTCAGCACATTACTCACTATGTTTGTTCCAACAATGAAATGATTAGGATTAGAAGACAGAAATTTAATGCTCAGTGTCTGTGGCATTCTCTGGCGAATATCCTTTGGGAAAAGGCTACAAAATCATAAAGGGAGAAGACATTAATACAGGAAGTTGTCTCCAAAAGCTGTGCAAGTACATACAGAAACCCTTGATCTAAAATATATATGACTAGCTCTAGGAAGATATGTGTATTAAAAAAACCCTGCAAAACAACTAATCAAAATAATATTAAATATGTCTTATATAACAGCAAATTAATAAAGTATAGGAGGAATTAGCTTTGTGAGATACACATGTAAAATTGAAATGTCTCGGTTTTCTTACCTGTTATTCAATTCCATAGTTGAGCTATGTACTAACTTCACTTTCCCTCCAGGAACTAAACCTAAAATTATACAACATTATTATTTAAACTGATTTAAACACTTTTCATTAAAAAAGTTCAATCATTAAATTAAATCCTAAGGTAATAAGTAAAAGGATATTTCATAATTAAATTGTTTACTGCAGATATAGTTTTTGATATGTAAGAATCTTACATCATTTACAACGTTTTACTTCAGAATCCAAATCTGAAGTTATAATTTTTGCCAGAAATGGAAACATGATTACATTTCTGTTTTAGTTTTTCAGCATGCATATAACATCCTGCAATATCACTCCATAAAACCCAATTCTAGCAACGGTTAAAATGTACATTTGAGTCACTTGGATCTTTGACAATGAATTTTAGTAATAAGAAACCGTAATAATGCTTCTACAAAATTGGTCTATTTTGCCTGTTAGTAGAGGATAGCATAAATAATTCAAATCCTTCAAAGACAAGAACTTTTTGAAGAGGAAAAAAATGAAAGCTGGTCGCAGTAAAACTGTGTGTAAACCATGACCACAGCTTTAAAATGTACCTCTCCACAGACATAATACCCAGCTTTAGCAACCTAATGCAGCCTGACATTGCACACAAGCTTATAGAAAACTGATCAAAAATTCTGGTTTGTTGGCATTACTTCATTGTTTATGTATTTTCAAATATATCAGGATTTTAATCACAGCCTTTTCCAGTTAGGTAAGTAGGTAAGTCTAAGTTTGTTTAAAGAACGAAGAATGTCATTTGCTTTATTCACATAACTCAAAAAGGGCTGAATGGACTTGGTTCTTTATTTTTTCATGGAAACTTTTTTCTCACACTAAATTAAGTACCTTACCCAAAAGAGAACTTTCAGGACAATTATCAAAATGGAGATACAGGCAACAACAAAAGCATTGTAACAGATTTGTTAAAACTAAAGAAAGAACAGGAGGACCAAGGAATCTTATATTCTTTGAAAAAAAAAGCTGTTAGGGATACAGACAACTGCTCTGACATTATAAGAAATGTGGTTGTTTAGTGGTAATTACCAATACAGAATTAGCAGATAAGATTCAGATAGCAGTGAAAATAATTCTCATTATACCTAACCAATAACCCCAAACATGAGATATGTACTATTCAGAATTAATCTTTTCCTCAGTAAGTTTTCCTTCTCTTAAACTGCTTGGCATCACTGACTCTATCTCTTCTAACATCATAGTCTCAAAACTGGAGCATTTTATTCTACTTTTAATGCACAGTACTCACCTAAATCAGTTTGTGAACCAGCTAAATCCACTTTTTGTAATTCAACAACTACCTGAAAAGTCAATATTTAACACTAGTAAACAATCAATATTTACCAGACTCCAAAGTTTTTTAAGTAGTTGTAAAAATGTATGAGATAACTCTAAAGGAACATTTAGAGAGGCAGGTTTAACATCACAATGATCACAGGTAGATTCTCTATCCCCTGTCAATGTCTGCAATTCTAACAATAGCTTCCCATGCCTGCTGGATGTTCCCTGCTGGAAAGCAGAATATGGAAGGTTACATTCTCCACTTAATTGCTAGTTGGCGTCTTGTTTGGTCATTCATAAACAAACCACCTAAACCTCCAAAATAAGAAATTGTTACACATTTCCTGTGCTTTTCACGACTCATCAAACAGAAAGGGTAGATCACTTGGCCTGAATCAGCTGCTGCTAAAGTTACTTAGAGTTTTAAGGGACTTAATTAGTGATACAGAAGGGAAATACTTTTATCCCCTTATTATTCACTGAGCTCTTTGGTTCCTTAAGCAAGATCAATTCAGCTGCAAACATGTTCAGCAGCTGAGCCAAAGCTGCAGCAGGAAAAAACGACTGAAAACATCTGATAGAAAGAAGAGTTGTCAGGACAGCAATTAAGACTAACAGACCTCGTGCCTTCCTGGTTAGCACATTTTAGGCAAGGCAATCTTAACCACTGATTTTCACTTTTTGTCTCTTGAACATTTGTTTTATATAAATTATGAATGTAATTTCTCCCCTACATTCAGTACAGTCTCTGACACCACTGTGATTCTAAAATAAAGCAGATGGGTGAAAGAGGATTGAGGTCTGTTAATAAATTAATAGAAATATGTGAACATATTCCTATGAAGTAAAACTACTGATTGCCTGTTTTCATGAATTCATGGTTTTTCCTAAGGACAACATTAGGGAGTCAGGTCAAAAATTTTAAGGAGAATTCCAACAGAATGGCTAATGCACTTTTCAGGGAGGAAATTCTCATCAGAAATTCTGAATTGGAGTTGCTATATTTGAAGTATTTTATTATTCCAACACATCATACTCTTCCTACACATATTACTCACCCACATATTGAGGATTCCATTTTCATCCATTGAAGCTATCTGAAATGGAGGGCCTGACACTTCTATGGAAGGAATGGCAACAATTTATATTCATACATTGACTTTTCTGCTGAACAATATCAGAGGATTTAAAACATTTCCCACATTAATACATTCTCTAACACTTCTACAATCCTCTCAGCTGCCTCTAAAGGGAAAGTGCTCTAATTCCACCAAGGCAAAAAAAGGTATGAAAGTTTCTTTACTGAGAGGGTGGTCAAAGACTGGAAGAGGCTTCCTAGAGAGGTGGTCAATGCCCAAGGCTGTCAGTGTTTAGGAGGCATTTGGACAATGCCTTTACCATGTTTTAACTTGGTCAGCCCCAGATTGGTCAGGCAGTTGGACTGGATGATCCTTGTAGGTCCCTTCCATCTCCAACATTCTGTTCTATATCTCTGTCTACTCTAGTATGTGCAGCTTGTCCTACCAGAAAGGCAGATGATCTCTGTCTGCATCTTTTAAAAATGTCTGGGTTCTGCATGGACTTTGGAAGGGAACATAAAGTGCAACAGGTGAAATGTTGTAAAACCTGCAATATGAAGCACATTTTTTTAACCACTACAGATTTCAAAGTACTAGTCTGCAATGGAAGCAATAATGCCTCCTCCAGCACACTGTCTGAGAATTTGAGGACATGAGGATTGGAATGTTTTTTGCCAAGGTCAGTCATAAAAAAATGGGAAAAAGGTACAGGAAAAACCACTAAGTACAGTCACACATTTTAAGTGCTTTCAGATATAAGCAATTTGCTCCACTGACTCAGATAGAGATTTTTTTCAGGCATTTTAGAAGCATTAAGACTTTTCTAAAGGCAGTTTTCGAATAATAACTTGTTTTATCATGGAAGAATGAAACATTGTCTGGAAAGCAGACATTATAACAAGCATGCTACCACATCTGATGTGAAGTCAAACAAACATTACCTAAAAATGAGGGCAGAAAACAAACATGCATCTGTGTGCAGTTGATACCACAGACAAGAGGCAAAGCAGCATTATAAACTGGATTTTGACTATGACATATTTGCTTCCCTAGATACCTAAAGAAAGACTCAGATGTATTGATGCTTTGATGAGTAGCTTACATACCCTCCTGATAGGAGAGGCCTGAGAGCCCATAACTGTGATCAGTGTCAAGAGAGGTTGAGACAGGTTCCACTGCAAGTACAGGAGAGGTGTGGTTTACTGAGTTTAGAATGCCATCTGTAATTAAGGACAATGAAAGTTATGATATTACTTTCAACAAAAACCAACAATAAAACCTTAATCACTTTTCAGCTTATGGGAAAATGATGACTACAAAAAAAGAACGGCAAATAATGAACTTCATAAAGAATGACTTTGCAAAAGTCTCAAATACAATACTGCAAACTGTTTCCTAAATTAACAAAATACTACTAGAGAAATCAATGTTTCAATATTTCTATTTACTTCTCATTTTCCAAATGGCTGCTGTACCATTTATGCCACTGTACCAGACATTTCATTAAAGTCTTCCAGGGTTAGCATGAAAAGAATTATGATAATTTCAAGCTTCATAAAAAATAGTGGTAGAAATAAATCACTGCTTAACATAAAAAAAAAATCAAAGAAAAATTACCCTTAACAGAAATTAACTACCCTGAAACAAAGAATTCACCATGAGAAAATATGTATTTACCCTTTAAGAACATTTTAAAATAAATGTGTATTTAGAGTAATTTTAATAAGTGTTCTTTGCCAGATACTCATGATTTCTGGACTTTTCCTGTGCACTGAACTTAATTTCATTTAAGAATAAAGGCACAAAGCTTCCTACATATACAGCATTAAACCTGCCTGCTACTACATGAAACTGTACCCATACATTTGACTACCAGCCCAGTGTGCAACACAAGACCAAGCATCTTTGACCTACTAAAAAAATTAAGTCTGTCAACAACCAACTACTGTTTATTTTTACATGGCTTCTGCAATTAGATACACTTGTGAAGAAAAGATGATTTTGTGAATGTGTTTAAGTCAAACCAGAGAAATTCTAATATGTGTCTAGATGTAGATCAAAAAATGTAGGTTATATTAGGGGACACAACACATTGAAAACTGACTAAGTTAATGATTTCAGATGAGGTACTAGTTGAGTATCCATTTTAATATTACAATGCTCCTTAGGTTTTATAGCTGGTCCCCCTCTCTGTTCTCACTGCTTGATGCACACTGAGCTGGCTTCCATTTCTGTTCAGCTATTAATTATTGACAATTTTTACTAGACTAAATATAATACCTGAACTGGCTAAACTAGGCTACTGAGTATTATTTCACTGCACACAAAATGACTAACCAGGATGCACAGATACTAACCAGTGGAAAATGTTGGAACTCTAAATGTCCAGTCAGTTCCACTCATCATTGTATGAGGGTGCATTCTTGAGTCTTCTCGAAGATCCCAGACCAACAATGAACCATCGATTGTTCCAGCAAAAACTAATGTTGTTTTACTGGGGCTAAAGCAGCAACACATCACCTGTTAAACAGTAAAAACATGCATGGTTGATATTATGATAAAGGCAAATGATTTGCCAAGCCTGAAATATGTACTTCATAGTGTAATTCCTATACAGATTACATGTGTTTATGGCAAAAGGGCAATTTATTTTAAAAGGGGATGTAGGATAGAAGACTTTCAGTAGGCCTTGCCTTTTCAAGACAAATGTTTTGTAATCTGCATCTACTACCAAGACACTGAAGGGGGTGACTCAGCTGCATGGCAGTGATGAGTAGAGAAAAGTCCTGACAACATCTGAACCAGATGTTTTACTTTCATTCACTCTTCAACAATGAAATAGAGTCTAAATTAAACAACCAAAACAACAAAACACCATGACCATCACTACAACTTTGTTCTGGAGCACAAAATAGAATGAGAACAGTGTTTCATTCACTAGGCTCAAATGTGTTTCTCAAAAGATGGCATATCATGCAGCAAGACAAAAACCCCAAAATACACATAATAAAGCTTTTCTTTTTGATGGGTTATATGCAATATAACCCATATATACAATGGGTATATACAATATATACAATATATACAATGCTATTAAAACATACCTCTGAGTCACATATTAAAACTTTCTGAGGACTGGAGGGCTGCCAGATGTTCCAAACACATATGAGGCTCTTTCTGTTCAGTAAGTCCACACCTGCCTTCTCAGGTAATCCATGAACAGAAAGTAGTGTCTGCCTCTGAACTTGAGAGACATATAGGCAGGATATTTTTCGGTCTAAGCCATCAAGAAAAAGTCAAGCAAGAAATGCAATAAATGAAAAAGCAAACTCACTGCAGATGAAAAAGCACATTTAGCTGCTATAGCAACAAACAAAGGAACTAAGACACAATGATGAATAATATTTCTATTAAGAGTGGGTTGCTTTTGAAGCTATACAACAAAAAAGGAGGGACTAGAGAAAGATTCCAAAATATTATAAGTAGAGAAAAAAAAGCAAGACAGTCAGAAAGTTAATAGAATAATTATTCTGGGCATAAGCAAGCCAATCTGATCTGATGTCACTCTATATACTCAAAATTAAGCTGAGTCTCAAACAGGAAACAGCACAGGTCAGGTTTTTGCTGGTTCACCTCATGTGTTTATGTTAGACTAGGTGTGTTATAGGCCTTCCTAACATAATTACAGGTGCTTTATTTTTCATTTTTATTTTCATCAGAACAGCTACTGCTTATATGGGGAAGATATAACTGCTTTTCAAATATATCAGGTGATATTCTCCCTTTAATAACCTGCCTTTATTTACAGTTTTGGCCCTACTGTCAGCATAAAGAGCCCAAATGAAATTATATCCTTAGGATGGCCCCTCAACAACAGGGGCAAGAAATGACATGCATGATATTTCTTGTAGGAGGCTCTGATGTTACCAATGTGAAACCAATCTGCACAGTTACAGCAGGATTAGTGCAACTAAAAGAAAAGTGGGGTTTACAGCATCTGGATATCCTGATATGTGCTGTTTGCACAGTTATGACAAAGAGTATGGTATTTTGCAAAGAAAGAAGAGTTCACTCTGTATACTAAAAGGTGTAGAATAAAGTTCCCTTACCATGGAGGAATGGCTGGTTAGTATTTAACTGGAAACAGCTATCACTAATAGACAGACTGGTTTGTCGAGATCTTAGTTTCCTGGGTTGTGTTGCAACTTGATCTTCCTCTAGCAAAACAGCAATCACCTTTCAAACATAATTACATTTATAGAAGTAAAAGGGTCATCTTATCTTTCAGCTTTGCTATTTTAGTTTTTTCAAAGGTAGGTGGATAAATTTAATAAATCTTTATCAACTCTCTTGTTAATTTTGTATCTTTGCAAATACAGCTTTACAGACACAGACGTCGCACAGCTCTGATTCCATTCCTTTGCAGAGATGATTCTCATTGCTAATGAGTATTATGTAAGTCATGTAATTAAATTAGTCAGAACAAGAGCTGAAAGTGATCTATCACAATGTATAGTTATGCACACAGCTCATAAGGGATATTAAGGACACAAAAGTACCTGACAGGCAGACCGAAGGAAATTTGCTAATCTTTGTGAATCAATTTTAGGTGTTAGAACTCCATTCATTGACATATCCTGGCTGTTTCTGGGACCTATGGAAAACAAAAAAAAACCCAAAAATCAAACTCAAAGCTTCAAAAGGGAATCAGTTAAGGAAAGTGGAAGAACGATTTAATTTTTAAGCAAGAGGAGAGTGGTAAGAATCAGCTTTTCTTCAGCAGGAATAGTAGTGTTGAAGACCAAGATCTGTTGGGGAATCATTTTTGCTGCCAACAGAAACAGCAAGCCAGAAGGAAGAACTGTTTCTGCCACTTATTCCTCACCCCCCTCCACATGGGGACTCGAAGTGGCTCTGGCAGTTTGGGCTCAGTGCAGCCTTACACACTACACATTCTCACAATTAACGGACACAAAAGAGAAAGTTTGCATGACATGAGCACATCCATAAACGAATAAGATTAAAATGTTCTTCACCTCCAGACACAAGAGAACTTTCTCCTGGATGCTGTGTCCATTTCTCCAATGTCTCAACTTCCTCAGTCTGAATGTCTCTATCCAGATTGTCCTCGTTACACTGAACGTACGCCTAAGGTAGAAAGTGATCACTAAATGGGCGACACAGCTAGGAAGGACAGCACAGAACTGAACAGAACTTTGGAATTCTAAAACTGATGTGCTCACCCTCTTCTCTTTGGAAATTCAGACCTAAGCATACTGACACACTGTCCGTATTTTGTGCATGCAAATTTTACCACATTTCACACCAAGGCAGCATTTTTGGGGACACTGAGCCACAGACAGGCAGAAAGCCCTTTAGAAAATGGGGAAGGAAAATGAAAGAGTCCTTTTCTAACACAGAAAGGAAATGGTCTGTCTGGTCAAAAGTTTTGAGATTGTTGCTTTATGGTAATTAGGGCTCAGAGATGAAAATTATTAATTTATTACTCTACTGTTCCATTAGCTTTAGGAACTTTCTTTTTAAGGAAAATTGTTTTCAAGAACGAGCATCAGCACTTTCAGGATTTAAGTATCACTATATATTTGTTACGCACCTGCTTAGTGTTCATTTTACCAAAATTCCTGATATACATGTCGTACTCATTTACAGGGGGCAAATCCAGCAGTGAAAAACTAACTGAGAAATCCAGGTCAATTAGTGGGAGAAGTTCTGAACTCCGTTTTCTTTAGAATTGATTACAAGAGAGAAAAAGAAAATGGTTAAGACCAAGTATTTGGTATTCCAAAAGAAAAGCAATGTGATTTTGTTCAGTACCAGAGATCTAACAACACTTTAATCTATGTGAATTGAAGTTGTACCAAAATTAATTGGCAGATGAAAATATATCAATAAAAGTATACAGAATATTGTTATGAGTTTTCATTTAATTATGCTGAGATAATTATCATATTTGAAAATGCAATACTGATTGCAAATGCCAAACATGGTTTATTATTAAACCCAAATTGCCAAAAACCCAGCAGATCATCTTTTCTAAGTATTCAAAAGCTGTTCTGTGAAGTAAGAGATGAATGTCTCTTCCAAAAGTGAGGATGATGGCTAATTCTCCTAAACTCCTTTTATTAACTTACATCACTTATATATGTACATGCTTTATAAAGTTCTTCTCTAATATCCTGTCTTTGTTAGACACGTGCAAATGTATCTTGAATGACCTTCACTTGTACTAGAATAGACTGCCTGCATTCATACCTCTTTACATCACTAAGGAAACAAATAACAATAGCAGTTTATCAATCCTAAAATATATTTGAAATATACAAACGAAATTACTTTATTGCTGATTCAAAACCCATGGCCATGAATATTGACCTCTTGCCCCAAAAGTAAGCCTCCAAAAAACTTCAGTTACTGGAGTGTTGGATTTGATCTAAATTGTATGAAAACAAGTATTCAAGATTGAGGGAGACTGTGTATTTTTCCACTTGTATTTTTAGTTTTGAGTAAGATTAACACATTGTACAGGATCTGAGATACCTCTTTGTCCTATGAAACACCAAATCTTTCCATCTTCCTAAATTCTCTTGCTGGAATGATAAAAAAATAACTGCCTTATCCATCTTCTCTCAATTCTTTTATTTTCTGCCTACCTTAATTTTTATTTTTTTCATCTTTGCTCACAAATAAAACCATAGTTTGATTCTTAATTGGAAAATAAGTCTACCTTCACATACTGTATCTCTACTCTGTAAAGTAAAAATACATTTATGTGATATTACTTATCATTAACTACAAAGAGTTAATGATAAAGAGTTAAGTATCACTTAACTTGTGTGGATGTGTGGATAATGAAAAGACTGACAATCTTTGTCACAATTCACATGACTATCTACATGCTGTAATGACATAAAGCTGTTAAGATGTTTCATTTTAAGAGTGAACTGCTTGAATTACATGCAGATGTCAGTTTACAAGTTAATTCCAGGCTCTTGCTATAGTGCAAATCCCTCAACAATGAGAACATTTTTGCAGTCTCCCTGTCTCTCTCTTGCACTTTCAGGTTTTTTTAATGTCCTTAAAAACTATAAATAAATACAAACCAGATATATCCCTTTTTTGCTACTTGATGACATCTATTGCATTTTCTTACACAAATTTTATTTTAACTTGTGCTTCTTAATGTCACCTCTTCACAAACGTGGGCACAGATTGCTAAGATCTTACTCAAACGTATGAAAGTTGCTTCCTAGTTGCAAATCTGAATAACACATACACACAAATCCTTAAAATAAACTAATAAGCTCATATTATTTCTCACAACTCCAAAGTGCCACAGCTCATTTAAGGGATGCTTTCAGTCTATTTACTGGTAGTAATGTATTATCACAGCATTAAATTCCACAGCTCCTTTCTCTTTCCATGAAAATGCTTTGTATCTTCACAGATATTTATGTTGTCAGGATGTACACAGAGTTATATACATAGCCATAATCAGTCATAGTACACAATCACTAGAGGCTGAAAAACATTCCAGAAGTCAATTCTTCAGAGATGCCTTCCTGAGTTTCCTAATTTGTCTCCACCATCTAGGGAGGAAGCCTAGACAATGAACTTGCGTAAAATTTGGGCACATAAATTTAGACAAGGTGAATTAGACAGCTTAGACAATAAAATTCTCCTTATGTGAAGATTAGTCACTGATGTGGAGCCATGAAACAGTGGAATCTATTATTAACAACAACATTTAATAATCTTGCTTTATGCATCCCGGTACTTCAACAGAAAATTGGAGGTATATACAGTGCTTCAGATAAATCTGGAGCTCCTGGCAAGTTCCACAAAAAGCAAGCATCAATTTGTTTCTTTAAAATACAGGGATGTCTTAGATATCTCAAATCTAGATCAATTTTAGATCAGTAATAACATGTTTTTACACCAACTGGTGTTATCCCTGAAAAGGAACATGCTATTTTGGTAACAGTAACACACCATAAAGTATCTTGAATATTTCAAGAAATTACGGTTCTGCAGAGACCCAACAGCAGCTAAAGGGCTTGTTCTTTAGTACTTTAGGTCAATATCTAATTAAGTGACTGAAGAATTATGATACACATAAACTGATATATACATAAATTTCTGTTACAAAATTTTATGTAGCAAAGCCTGTACATTATACTTAAGAACTAATTACTGTTAGCTAACAAAATAATACTTGATTCTATAAGCCTCAAAGTTATAAAGTTCACATATTTCAAATACAATGAAAAAAATTACATCTCACATAGTGAGCTGCCCTTTTGTGTGGAATATTTAAAATACACTTACTTCTGTTTACTGGCCATATTTCGGCTACTTTGTCGTTGGTTTGCCATTTGAAAATCCATGAATATTCCACAAAAAGAGTTTCTGACAGTTTCTGATTGGTTTTCTGTGATATTATAAACCATTGTTAGTGTTACAGTTCACACTTTACAGTGCATGAAAACGCAAAGCAGTAAGTCTAAAAAGCAACAGATTTATTACAACACAGCTACTAAAAACGACTAGTTTACAGGCTACACAAAGTGCTCTATCACAGCTTTCAGTATAATGAGCTTAACTTCAGTAATGGGCCAGGATATGTCCCTTATTATGGTCTTTTATCCATCAATTCAAAATGACTGACCATAGCAATTTTTGTTTTAGAAGACTGTGATGCAGAAAGGGCCTCTTTCTTCCTCTTGCCATTAGCAGGTCCCTTGTTCCCCTATGTACAGTAAAACACTCTATGATCCATTCTAAAAATCCTACCAAACTGACACAGACTTCCCCCTCTAAATCAGAATTCATCACTACACGTAGTGGAGAACCTCCTCAGCACAAGCTTAACTAATGTCCTTGGATGAATAAGGAAAATACTGAAAATTGTTCCTTCAAAAGCCACAGTTAATAGACCAACTACAATAACTGTTGTCATGCCTATTTTACTCCCTTTCCAGGCTAAGTGGTAGCTAATTGACCTTAATATCCAACTTCCAGTCAGGACTAATGGTGTTTCACTTCCTCAAAGGAAGACTGCCTTTTTAGGCAATACTTGTAATATGCTTTTCAACTTCTAAAAATAATTACCAGAATGATCAACAACCATTTTAAGCAAATGAGGTCGAAACTTCATCAAAAAAATGTCTATTGTGTAATTTAGAATAAAGCACCAAGTGCTACAATTCTGAAATTTGAAAATCTGATTCTATATTAGAATGCCATGCTGTTCATTAATGTCCTAGTATCCTGTCCTATAGCATTAATGGAACGAATTTATTGATTCCATATTGTTTATTAGAAAAATAATAATTGCATAAATCTTCTGCAAGGAGAAATTCACATTACTGGTACTGGCTGCAACTACTCTTTTACTGAACTGAAAATCTATTGACAGAATCATAGAATTTTCTAGGCAGGAAAAGACCTTTGAGAGATACTATAAAGAGTTACAGAAACTCCATGCTATTCTTCCATGACTTTAATAACTTTGCACGAACCAGACTAAAAAGCTAATTATTATTCTTTTGCACAATGATTATATACAGTTATTCACTTGAGTGTGGAGTGCAAAGGGAACTTTACAGGAACAACTGTAGGAAAATAAGTAGCTCTGCCACTCCCAGGTATCAGATCAACTGAATGCAAGACAACACTGTAAAAAGAGCCTGCATTTAAAAGTTATGTAGGACTATATATCTCAGTAGTATCGATATTTCTCTCACCTTTCCACCCAGAACAGAGGCTTCAAATTTGCTTAAAAGAAAAAGGTGAATTTAACGCCAGCAGAAGCCCCAAACTGTTCTAACACTCCTCTAGCTTTCAAAATCCAGACTCTCATATCCTCCTCTTACCCAAAATAAGATGTATTAAATGTCAGTCTGTACATTTTTATACTTCACATTTTAAATGATTAGTAATGCCTCTGAATCAGTCATTAGTAATGTGGAAGCTGCAGTGCTTACCCACAAACCCAAGTGACTCATCCAGAGCACCAGACTTTGTCTTTAGGCAGACTTCTAGAAAAAGTGGCCTGTTTACTCCTAAGTTGTATGTGTTACTCATACATTTAATAAAAAAGATTGGTATCTAGTCACATACCCATGATTGGTTCCTTTTTTTCATCTTCAAGTTTCTTCAGCGGTGAATTAAAAATTCTATCATTTTCTGCACTAATTGCTCTTTGAATTTCTTCTATTTCTGATGTTCTGGAAAATGGAATCTCCCTTAGGTTTTCTTCTGCATCTCTTTCTTCACCACTTTTGTCTTCATCATCTTCAAAATCATCTTCATAATCCTTGAAAAGTAACAAAACTTTCAATAACTAACACAGATTATAGATGTATTTTTTCAAGATCTTTTAAAAAATTATAAAATGGTGTCAAAATAAAAATCTCATGCAGATAAATCCTCTGACTGAAAGGCATTCTAAAATAGTTGTTTGATAGAAATTGAATGGCATCTCTTGATTGTGCAGTAATTTTAATCAAGACAGGACAATCCCCCAGTGTTGTTTTTCAGTGCCCAAAATAGTCTTTCTTAATATCCTAGAGTGGAAACTATATATTTATGTGAATTATGTGTTCCTTAAAGAGATAAAATAACAATGTTCAGTGGCATAAATGCTTCAGGGATGTATGAAGTCATTTATATGATAGTTTTAATTCAAGCTGCCCTTTAATGGCAGGTTCAAATTTTCTAAACTGCCACACTATCTGTTTGCAAGTCCATGCATAAGGCTCATACTTTAATAATTCTGTTAACTAAGACAATTTATCTCATGCTGAAATAATAACAAATGATATGAACAAGTCTTAAATGTGCTCATTTCTCTCCACTGAATGATAAAGGGCTACTGATGAAAGCTAAATAAATATACAGCAAAGAATTTCTACATAACATTTTAATTCCTCATTATCTACTGTTAGCCAAGTTAAAGGTCACTGTCACAAAAAAAAGAACTAAAAACCATATAATATTCTGTACTTTTTATTTCTGTCAACAAAGCTATTCACTATTTTGATACTCAAGAATTACTTCACAGACAACTGTATGCTTTTACTTACTTCAAAATCATCTTCATAATTTGCTGAAATGTCATTAAGTCCTGTGTCTGAATTATAGATGTGTGTATCTTTCATTTCCTAAATGAGAAAAGCAAGTGAAACTTAAATAATCTTACAAAAATATCTTTATCTCCCAAATCCTAGCATAAAGTAAATAGTTGTTGTTCTCAGATACTTCTACATTTTCAACCAAACATACAGCATATAGTTTATAAATATAAATAAAAGTGTATTAACAAGGGATAATTACTGACTTAAATGAATAGCACAGGAAGAAAAACATAACTCAGCCTTATCTTGTGAAGACCACCTGTTTTTCCACCAGTATTTTTACTGGAAAAGACATAAAAACTGCTATGTTGCCTATAATTTCCATGATGGTGTAACAAAAAAAATAAGACTGCTCTACTTTTCTGAGTATTAGACAAAATTATTACTTAAGTTTTACTGGCAGACTCATATTGTTAATGAAATAGTGCAAGTGTTGAAACCAGGAAAAGAGAGACATGGACACAACAAGAAAATTATATATTTTTATACATAAATGACTCTGTTAACAATGAATCCTCTACTTTATTTGCATGGAATAAAATTTATGGTATCCCTGAAATAATTTCAAATAATTTTCCTTTCTCTAGCTTATTAATTAAAACAATGCCATTTATTTACCCAAACACATACCCCAAACAAACGAGAAGCTTAAAATGACACACACTGATCTATCCAACCTTTAATCAGCTTTTTTCCTCAATGGCATCTTCAAAGTCATAGATTAAATTATCCAAATATCAGGGCTTTCAACAGGTTACAAAGTGGAAATAAATAGGAGGTTTTCTGAAAATTATCCAGCATAACAGCACACCTATTACCTGGTTCTACATTTACAACCAAAAGATAGCAGCTGGTTGTCAAGTAAGGTGCACTTTTGATCCTTCTGTGACTTCTGAAAAGCTACAGCCAACTAGTTTTCACAGGATGTCATTAAGGACATTATATAGTAGTAAGCAGCTTCTACTTTTCAGAACTCTCACACTCCTGGAACTAGTAGGATTGGGACTATAGTAGTTCTAGTTGCCACTTTTTGTCATTTCTCAACTCAGTCTTTGGATCAACAATAAATTATATCAGTCAGATTGTCCATCTGGGCAAAACTGGGCAAAATTCCTCTAATTTGTTCTGCCTGAGAGGGTGCAGGTACTCAGCAATAACTAATTCATATAGTATAATTCATGTAATTTTTAAAAAAATCTTTATTCCATTTAGTAACACACTCATAAAGATAGTTATAGTCTTTTTTATCTTAGTGTCATCATCTCAGAATATGCCTACAGAGCAGTCATTTTTATTAATAACACACTTGTTTATAACAGTCCATATTAAACATGTAGTTTTTACACACTAAAAACCTCCACCTGTCAGCAGTTGTCTGGGTTCCTACTTTAAAGAATATATGGAGAATATATTGTCAATACCAAGCAGGATTAGGAAGTCATGCTGGAATATCTGGATGGCTGTGGCAAGTGGAGTAACAAACATACAAAGAAAATCAACAGCATAAATTGTAAGCCCCTGGAATTTGATTTAATTCTCCCTGCTGAGTGTGGTCTTAAGTAGAGATTTCATCCTCCTATGGTGCCTCCCATTGTCAATGAAGACAGAGAAGATAATGGAGGAGACTAAATAAAAAAGGACTGAACTGCCTATTTCTCTCCACAATCTGCAAATGAAATTTAGGTCCTCACCATAAACAATTCACACTTTCAGGTGAGCTGAATCAAACACTAGAAAATAGGACAAAACATTTTAAAATTTGTATGGTAAAGTTATAGGCTGCATCTGCACAGACTGGCCCAAATAAACTCAATTATTCTCCAGAGCTTGCTGAAAATTTGGTTCTGTCTGCAACTGTCCATTGAAAAATATAAAAATACTTTCCCATTTCTTATGGCAATTGATTTAAGACATATATGAACTACACTGTTAGCTGCATTTTACTTGGCTTGCATTATCTGTTATTTGCCTGTGTCAGCTGTTCACAGAAAGATATAATATACTTTAGGTAGCTATAGATGATTTCTATTACACATCTAAACTCTTCCCCCTTATTGAGTTACTTTTTCAAGCATAGAAGATACTGAAATACAGTTGAATAAATGGCTACCTACAATGTTTAGCAAATTTATATAGAAGAAATAAATTTTCTAATGCTGTATCCAGGAAGAGAGGTTAGGAGATACCTGAAGACCAGTATACCTAAATCTTATATCATCTTTGAATGCACTATATTGAAACATATATTGTAATTGTTATTCATCTCAATACAAATGTACCATTCTAAGTTCCAAAATCAAATAGTTTTACCTCTTGTCTTGTGTCCTTTTCCTCTTTTTCAATGAGTTTTCCCTTATCTTTTATAGTCCTATTGAAAAAAAAGAGAATATCTATTTTATTGTTTAACTCAGAAGACAGCAGTTCTGTTTTGGTTTTGTCTTCTGGGGGTTTTATTTGTTTCGGAAAAAAAAAGTCTTTTTTCATGAAAAAGGAAAAAAACACTTGAAAATTTTAATAAACTGAAGTATTTCTACTAATATTTCTACAGATCTCTATTACGTAAAATTACCATGAAACAGCCACGTGAATAACCAGCTAAGAACTACAAAATATTTTTCCAAATTTACCACCTATAATTGCACCAAAATGGAAGAAAAAGGAAAAAAACTATTAAACCCACACATTTATTACTTGTATTAATGTCTGCAGTGAACTGGAGATCAAGAGCAGGTTGGTGCAATATGCTATAAAAGCCATAAATCACAGACTGACTTCAAACCTCTGCTTTCATTCAGGGGTTTTATTTATGAGGACAATGCAATCAGGGTCAGAGAGCAGGAGACAATTAACAACCCACTCTGCTCCTTAACAATCTATTTGATTATCTTACAAGTATTGGACTTCAGGAAGAGAATGTTTTGACTTCTTAAGTGACTATTCAAATACGCTGTTGGGATTGATAAACACGGGAAAAAGCAACAACAAAAATTAAAATTTTGCTGGATCCTGTCGTAACAAATTAGAATGATTCAATATTAACAGTGCTTGAAGCTGAACCAGGGTTTTGGGGCATCCCACTGAATCAGACTACCTTCCTTGCCATTCAGAAATGGTTCACTCTCTTTTCCCAGCTATGCACTTCAGAAAGCTGTATAGGAATTTCACATGGCTGGAGAATTAAAGAATGCAAAGAGAACTGGAATATACAGGAAACTTCTGTAAGATTTTATATTTGCTAGTAATAAAACTTAGAAATATAACCCTGAAATTTTACTGAGGATGACTTGGACTTTTCCCTTTCATACACAACTGCAAAATTGTTATATATATCTAATGTTTAAATACTATCCAGGATAGGAACTAAGTACAGATATTCAAATTAAAATAAATAACATAAGGGAGTCCTATATAGTTCATCATGAACCTTATATGTGTCCACATGACTGTATAGTGAACTTCCAGGTGGTAAAATACAGCATTTCTGTCTTCCAAACTAAGTGCCCAGATTAATATATATGTAGTTTGCAAGGACTGCAAAATAACTCTTGCTACCATGGGATACAAAACAAATAAATGGAATATAAAGACATACATTTTTAACTGAATCACCTTAGGGGCAAAACACACACTTTTTTTTTTTAATCACTATTGTATTGGGCCTATGAAAAACGTTATATTCACCCCACATATCTGAGATCAAGAATTCATGCATATTGGTTTGGTGGTAAATGAATTTTAGTGGATACTGTCTAGTATATACTTATTTTAAATCTCTGAATTTACCTTACATGCTGATGGCTTGTTTTCTCTTGAATCCTCTCCTCCTTTTTGTATTCGCTGGTCTGTAAAAGAAGTCACCATATTCATGTGTCAGAAATGTTGGGAGGAAATATATATATGAACCTGTATTAGTAACAGTGTTATCAAACAGTAAGAAAGGTCTCTAATTAATTGCTTCAATGACATATTATTTTTTATTTCAGTCATTGCTTGTAAGATCTTCTGAAAAACTCGTAGGGACAATGGACTTGTTCCAAACAGAGATTTTAACAGTTTGTACTCCAACAATTTACACAAATTGGACCCAGGGACAGAGAAACAGTCTCAGGCACTTTCAATACCCAGTATAGGGACTTGACTCTTAAATTCTGTATTATGAAGGTCTCCCTAAATTTGGAAATGTATTCAATAAGTTGTTTAACACAAAAGTGCTTGTCTCTATCCATGAACTTCAGAAAACCAAGCATAACTCTGGGACAGAAGCATCTTTGTGCATGTCCTGTAACAGCTATTTGAATAAATTTCTAAGGAAGCCAAATCTTGAGCAAGTTCCTGATAGACTTTTGTTGCCTGCTGCAGAAAGTCAGTCACAGGAATCACTCAGGGTGGGCCCCTACACCCAGGATGACTAGCTTTTCACTAGAATATATATTTCTGAAATTTTATTTGAGAAGCTTGTACACCTTCACTCTTCAGGCACTAGCCTAGACCATCTTAATAGTAATATGTTCCATAAGACTTATCTGCTTTTAAGAATTACAAATTACTAGATATTCCTTCTCTCATTCTTGTAGAATGAATACTTACAAAAACCAGTAAAAAATATCAAGGTTTTGATTAAGTCTCTAGGAAATAACATGCTCTATATTAGAAATATAAAAGATATGCTTCAGAAGTAGAGGCAAACCCCACAAATATGAGGGGTCTACACCCACATGCCTACTTGTGAGTTAGATGGCTCCCTTTATAGACAACATGGAAAATAGCTTCTATTAAAATCATAGTTTCTTTCTATAGAGATAGCCAACACACTTGAATGGACCTCAAGCCTAATGACAGCTTCACTCAAGGTGTTTGTAAAAATTGCAAAAGTCATAGCAATAAAGAATTTTATGCATAAAAGATGTTTCTAACATAAGCAAGTCTCTTGATTAAATTTAATGGGAAGAATCAGCTCTGGATTACGATACTTAAATACAGATATAGTGTTTTAATCTACCACTTTGGCCTCAAGTTTCAGAAGATATTGACTTACAATCCCAGATTTTTATTACTCTCCTATCTATGATGAATTGAGAATTAAAGTAAGCTATAATGTTTTAACAAAACCTACCCTTAGATCATGCTTCTTTCTTTCATTGTCTCTGCTTTTTATTCTCTCATTAACTTCTGCTGCTTGTCCTTCTCTGTCTCCATGGGAAGATCCCTCTTTAGATCTCCTTGATTTATGTTTTTCTTCCTCTTCCTTTCCATACTGTTTATGACTTCTCTCTTTTGAAAGCCTCTCTTTTTCTGGCCCAACAGAATGTTCTTTTTTTTCTTTATGTTTTCTTTCACCCTCTTTATCCAACTCTTGATCTTTCTCTAACTTGTGTACACGTTCACCTTCAACTTTGTAGGTTAAAAATTTGTCAATTTTCCTTCTTGCATCATTATCCTGGAAAGAGAAAAATAACATTAAAGGGTTAGAAAGTTCTCCAGGACTGTTTTATCTTCACAAATCTATCATTTTTTGACCATTAGAATGATGGATTTATAAGTACTTAATCTTTCTGTCACATGGATCTTCCAACCACTTTAATTTCCTATGATAGCAAGTTTCAAATTATTATAGCACTTGAGATTCTGATAGTTCTTCTGGGACATATCATACTTTGCTACAGAAAATTCTTTGGACTACATATTCTTCACACAAAAATTTGATTCTTATTTACTGGGTGGTCTAAAATAAAGTAGGATGTATCAATTACCCTTGTAACAAAGTAATAAATAACAAATGGAAATTTTTGATTTAACTGTGCAAAAATGAACCACTGTTTGCTATGAAAATTTTATTTAATGTTTACTTTAAAAAAAAAGAATAAAGCATTTCCTTAAAACAGAATGGCTGAGATATATTTCTGTGTGTTTTGTACACTTGTGAGCACCTTACTGTCTATGCATCTCTAGGATTTCTCAAGAAATGGAGTCTGATCCAATTTCTTCAGTATTCTACAATTTTATCTTATTGTGTTATGAAACACTTCACTACCTTCCCTTCCTTTACCTTCTTTTCTTTATGCCTTCTTTCTTGCTCTTCACTTCTTGTTTTTTCCTCCTCTAGAAAACAGATGTATAAATTAAGGAACAAACTTTATAATACTTAAACTCTGTACATAATTAACTCTAGCATGTAGAAAATAGTATTTCAGTGACATGTGTTTTCTCTAACACAAAAGCTTTCGAAAAAGAAATTAATATTCTGTTGAAATTCTCCCTCCAAAGCTGGTTACTCCTTCTTCTTTCCTAATGTTCTCAATTGTCCTGTGTAATGATAGGAGTAATGACACAAGCTACCAACTTCAGCAGTCACCCTGCAGGCTGGGGATTCAAAGGGTCACTCAGTAGAGAATGTCTGGGCAGGAAGGTTCTTGTTCTCTTCAAGTCAACTGAGCAACAAAACCAGTGATATCCATCCTCTGTTCAGAGGAAGGGAAACAAGCATCACTTTTTTTTAAAGCACTAAAATAAAACTAGGTTACCAAAAGATTCTCTAAAGATACACCTGTCAGTAGGCATTCACACCTACCTGTCTTTATCCTCTCCGTACAGAGGGGGTATGGATTCAGAGTATTCCTAGCTAAACATCAAAAACTTCCAAGGACAAAAGCAACCTAAAGCAACTCACCCAAACGATGCCTGCTTTCTCTTCTTCTGTGATGTTCTTTATGTCCTCCTTCAAATGATTTCAGATTATTTTGTGTATCTATTTGCTTTATCTCATGTCTCTTATGCTTTTTGTCTCCTTCTCTATCACTCTCCCTATCTTTATGTTTGGGTACACTGTATCTTTCCTTCTCCAAATGTGGCTCTTGAAGCTTATCTCTGTATCTCTCCCGGTCTCCTCTCTGGTGCTCTTTTCCCCTTTCTCTCTCTCTCATTTTATCCCTGTCTCTCTCACTAGATTTAAGCCTCTCTCTCTCTCGTGTTCTTTCCTTGCTCTTCCCTCTGTCTTTTCGTTCATGTTTATGAGTGTCTGTGTCAAGAGCAGACCTATCTTTCTGCAGTTTCTTTTCTCTGTGCTTTTGGTCTTCATTTTGACTATCTGGTTGTGATGCCTGAAATCAAAAAAAAAAATCTATTGTTATTAATATTTGATATTAATATATTCATGTGCAAAAAAAAAAAAATTGGTAGGTTGCTGAATGTTCATTTGATTTCCCAAATCACATTAAAATGCTGATCTATTCTAGGCTTACTTTGCAAAATTACTAACATTATGTCTGCGGTTACTGTAAAAAGGATTAATAAATGGAATAATAATAAGATAGATAAGAAGCTTTTAAAAAATACAAAAAGAACCTAACATGAATATCAATGGTGTACCTGACTGGAGCTTCAATGCCTGTTTGACAGCAGATAATGTAATTACTGAGTTTAAAAATGCATGACAAACATGATAGATGATGAAAATAAATACAATAGATAATATACATATAGGAATGTGAGTAAGTAGACATAAAGCAGAGCTGTAACTTGGATTTGGGTGGCCAGCAAGTTAGATCCCGTTGACTGCTGTGTGATTACCATAACAGAGTATTATTTCCATTTACCTAATTAAGAAATTCATAGAGCAACCTTATATGACCTGTGTAGCTAGAAATAGCTGAGTGGGCCTGGCTCTGGATACCCTTGGACTAGACAGATTCCAGAACAGTCAGTGTGACAAGCTACATGTTAAAGATCTGTACTGTTTGTATTTGATGGTGCAGATTTAAAGTGCCTGGTGCACCAAAAAGCATTAAAGAGAAAGAGCTGCTATAGATCCCACAAGGCAGAGTGACTCACAGAACAAGCAGGAAGCCCTGTGTTTTTGCACCATCAATAAATTCCAGTGCTGCAAGGTAACAACATCAAGACTAGTAGAAATAAAATAAAGAAATAACCTTAAGATGTTTCCTAAGTTCTTCTGATTTCCAAGTATCTTCTTTGGTTCTTCTCTAGAGCAGAAAACACAGAAAAGCCTGAGTAATTAACTTGCAAGGAGAAGCACATCATTTAACAACTAACAGTATTTCAAAGGAAAGGATTAAGGTGTATATGGCAAGTATCACTGAGTTTTTTTCATGCAAACAGTAATTTGATTTAGCTCTAAGGTCTATTTACAGTAAAGCTGACCTGACTGGACCTGGAAGAGGCCTAAAGTTCAGATTACATGTGTAAGTTAACTGCCACATGAAATATTTGTATGTAGCACTGAAGAAAAGAAGCAAAAAGATAATGAAAGTAATCAAAGTACACATGATGGCTGTCTCACAAGAGTGCTCCCTAGGTTATATTTCTTCTATCCTCATTTGCAGAGTTCCTGCCCTTGACTGCTTGGCTGCTGCTAAAAAGACTAAACTAAAAAGTCATCTTGTTTGAGATCACTAAAGCAAAGGAGGAATTTTAATCTATTGAATCTTTTAACTAATTAACTGGAGGATGATGACTATATTCAAAGTGACGTGATCAGGCTACCCTTATTCTCAAATTTAGGCTTAACTTCTAAAGATTAACAAAACACTCACTGATAAATTTTGGAATTATGAGCTGCATTGGTGGAAGAAAATAAACATATGGTGCCTATTTTTTTGTTAATTCATATGTAAGCAGCATTTTAACAGTATATTTTAATTTTTTATTTACTCTACATGAAAAAACCCTTGTGTTTTCAAACTAAGATTTTATAGAAGATTGTAGTGGACTGGTAAACTTCATCTAAAGTTGATGAGAAATGTCAAGAAGGCAGCCTTTGTAACAAAAAGAAAGTGCCCTTTAAGTTTTTTTTTTTTCTGATACATAAAAAAGGGAGGAAAAAGCACAAGTATTTACTACTGCATAAAGTCAGAGAGAAAGTAAAACCAAAGATGATAATTTTCCTAAGTGAAGCTTCAACAAAGCCTAAGAAACTCAACAGAACTTGTATGAGTGTAACCTGGAAGGAAGGATATGGATGGGAAGAGAACAGAATGCTGTATTATAGTCTCAAATAGTAACCTATTTACAATCTCTAATATATATGATCATGTTTTGGTTTTAGACAAGATTTAGGTATATATCAATAAACAAAGAAAGAATGCTAATGATGTTAATACCCTAAAACCAGCATAACCAACAGACAACATCAGATAAGGTTTTGAGCTTTACTTCAAAGCTGAGGCAAAAAGCACTCAGCAAACATTCAGGGCTGATTCTCTGGCACCCAATAATATGCATTTGCCAGTTTTCTGGGGTGTGAAGATTTCACCACCAGCCCCCCCAGAATCTGTTGCTTTTATAAATGATGGTGTTTCACTTAAATCTCTGCTTTTGCAGGAGACTAATAAAAAGACAGGTATTTTATAAAATTTAAAGAAACTTAATACCTTTGAGACCACTATAAGTAAATGTATACACACAAAAATGTTTAAAACAAACTTTCAAAGGATTTATTGAAGTTTCTCACCTGTCTGCTAATTTAAAAGTACTTACATATGTACCTATATACTCATTTAAATCCAGATTAAGATTAGTTATTTCAATGCCACAGGGGCTTAATTCATCCACCTGAGAGCATTCAGCTCACATAAAATGCCACAGATTTACTGAACTCAAAAAGTGCTATGAAAATTTTTACCGTTTAAGAATCCATGCTTTAATCTAAACAAAAATTAGTCAGTGGAATAAGGAACCTTGCTGTTTTAGACAAACTCCTCAAAGAAGATCATAAGGCATTTCTCCATGTACAAGGAGAAAGATTAGAGGTTTTCAGAATGTAATGTTTAGTTTTTAACTAAATTAAGAACCCAGTTCACCATGTTAAAGAAAAAGAAACGAAAGAGCAGTAAGAGAAATTTCTGTAGCTTTTAAAACAGAGAAAATTTCTTTATTTTTTACATATAAACATTTATCTTTCTTATTTCCAATATGAGCTGCCAATTTGAGAGCCCTCAACTAGGTAAGGAGCACGAGCGATAGAAGAGAAACAGCACAAGGGGGATTCCTCCTGCAGCATGGCTGTTGGTGCCTCTGGGTCTGTGGCACCAACACACCTGAAAAACATCAGATCAGAGTTTAACTTCCCACCACAATTCACTAGTTCACCCTTTTCAGCAAAGAGGTGACTGATGTACCACAGTTACTGAAACTAGATCTAAAATTTTCCAGAGGGATACTAATGCGCCTTTTCACATCCCCTGCCCAGCCACTCTATTCCTCCTGCATTTTCTATCCAGCACGACCGCAAATTAATTAGTTGCAAAATCCAGACTCACATGACCGCAATAAAACTGGCTTGACACTTCTGCTTTTTCAAGTGAAAATGTAACACAGTAATTGATGTCCGTGCGTACACGTGGTTTTGTTTCCCTTATTTTGGAGCTCTACAAACTTTCCATAATTTAACACCTTAATGAGAAAGTGATGTGGGTTCCTAAAGAACTAAGACCTGACAATGAGTGGGTATTAAACATACTTTTATCTACAATGTGAAACGCGGGGTGTTTTCCTAAAGCACCTATCGCGTTCTGCAGGAAGGTGTGTGGCCGGTGCAGCCTCATCCCTGTGCTGGAGGGATAAGGAATTCCTTACGGCCGCTCTTGGGTGGGGGATTCCTGGGACAAACCGGTCCCAGCAGAGCCGCGGGGTTCTCGGGGCCGGCACAGGAGACACCAGCGCTGTCTCCTGCCCTTGCCCCCGGGATTCCCGGCTCACCGGCAGCTTCCCCTCACCTTGTCCCCCTCCATGGGGGGGTCAGGAGGCCGCGTCCGGCCGGGCCGGGATCGGGAAGCGGGATCCGGGCGGCGCGTCCGGGCCCGCCTGGCAACCAGGGGGAGCAGCCGCTGGCCGAGCGATGGATGGCGCCGCCTGGGAATGCCGATATGGCTGCGGAGGGTTCTCCTCCCGCGGTGAGCCCCTGTGGCCGTGTCGGGATCCCGGAATGCGTTAGGAAGGGCAGGGAGCAGGTCGTTAGCAGGTCGGGGGGGGGGTTGTCCTGCCCCTCTACTCAGCCCTGGTGAGGCCGCATCTGGACTCCTGCTCTGTCTGGGCTCCTCAGTACGGGAGAGACGTGGAGCTGCTGGAGTGGGTCCAGCGGAGTGCAGCGAGGGTGATGAAGGGACTGGAATATCCCCCTTGCAAGGAAAGGCTGAGGGAGCTGGGCCTGTTCAGCCTCGAAAAGAGAGAACTGAGAGGGGCCCTCATCAGTGTGTATAAACGTCTAAAGGGTGATGCCAAGGCTCCTCTCCATAGGGCCAAGTAATAGGACAAGATGCACTGCACAGAAACTGATGCACAGGAAGTTCCATCTGAACACGAGGAAGAACTTCTTTATTGTGCAGTGACCACACACTGGGACAGATTGTCCACAGAGGGTATGGAGTCTCCCTTACTGGAGATATTCCAGAACTGCCTGGGCAAATCCTGTGCCATGTGCTCTGGGACAACCTTCCTTGAGCAGGGAGGTCAGACCAGGTGACCCAACTGTCATATTCTAATTTCAGTAACTGTGGTACATCAATCACCTCTTTACTAGAAAGAGGTGAGTTAGTAAATTGTGAAGGGAAGACCAGATGACCCACTGTGGTCCCCTCCAACCTGACCCGTTCTGTGATTCTGAGCTGGGTTTCTGCAATTGGAGGGCTTGGACCTTGTGAGGTGGGGATGGGGCACACACCTGGTCAGCCTTCAAGCACTGTTGTTCTCCTCTTCAGGAGGATATTAAGTGTATCATGAAACCATACCTCATCATGGTTGACTCACTTTTAGTAAAGTCGCGCACAATTCCTGCAGGGAAAACAAAAGAAAACGAGGAAAAGAGTGAAATGCTGACTCTGCCATTTACCCAGATGCTGAGTAGAGGCAGGTATGGAGAACACCTGTAGAAATAAATAAAAATGTTAATAATACTCCCCCAGTGACAATAGCAGAGCTGATTTCTGCAGCAAAGCACAAGTGGCAGCTCACCAAACACGTGGCGGGAGCTCAGTCGTTGCCTGCAGGAAAGGCGTGTGCCATTTCACAGCAAGTATTTACGACCTATTAACACCCACGATTTAAAAGACCAGATGAAAATTCCTCTGGGTGCTTTTAACTTTGTTGCCCATTTTAAGATTGTAAAAAAAAAAGTTAATATGTAACTGCTACTGCTAATATTGACGTTTGTAGAAAACTGACTACTGAGGGGGGGGGGAAAAAGCAAAGAGGCATTTTTGTATTTGAGAAACATTCTTGCCATAGTTCAAGGGAAGCTTATCATGCTGACTTCAAAAAGACAAAATTTAACCCCCTAACCTTACATAGTCAGTTGACAAGTACATACAAATCCGTGATACCTTGCCTCATATTCATGTTTCCAGAATTTATTAAAAATGCTGTAAAAGTTGCCTCACAGTCCAAACTGTGAAATATTTTCCTTTATCATGTAGCAGAAAAGCAAATCAAGCATATAATTATAAGGAAAAAAACCCTAAAACAAAACAAAAAACTCACCTTGATATTTTATTTACCAAAAAACCCCAGACCACAAACAAACAAAAACACACATGAAAGCTCCACTAAACAAAAATAACCACCAAACTCACCATTAATTGCAAGTATGACTTTTAAGGGATAAATTACATCCACTAAGTATAAACATATATGGATACTAAACTATTTATAAACCTTCTTATGAATTATTTCTCTGGTTTTGGCAGAACAATAATAATCTATAAGCAGCTGGGTTGGGGCAACCCCCAGTGTCAACACAGGCTGGAGAATGAACAGATAAAGAGTAGCCCTGCTGAGAAGGACTTGGGAGTGCTGGTGGACAAGAGGCTGGACATGACTCAGCAATGTGCACTCACAGCCCAGAAAGCCAGTTGTGTCCTGGGCTGCATCCAAAGCAGGGTGGGCAGCAGGTCGAGGGAGGGGATTCTGTCCCTCTGCTCTGCTCTGGTGAGATCCCACCTGGTGCTGCCTCCAGCCCTGGGGGCCTCAGCACAGGATGGATAGTGAGCTGTTGGGGCGAGTCCAGAGGAGGCCACCAAGATGATTAGAGGGCTGGAGCACCTCTCCTAGGAGAAAAGCCTGAGAGAATTGGGATTGTTCAGCCTGAAAAACAGAAGGCTTTAGGGTGACCTAACTGTGGCCTTCCAGTACCTGAAGGGAGCCTGCAAGAAAGACAGATGCTGAGCCTGCAAGAAAGACAGATGCTTTACAAGAGCATGTGGTGACAGAACAAAGGGGAATGGATTCAAACTAAAAGAGAGCAGGTTTAGATTAGACACTGGAAAAAAATTCTTTACTGTGAGAGTGGTGAGTCACTGGAACAGGTTGCTCAGAGAAGTTGTGGATGCCCCATTGCTGGAAGTGTTCAAGGCCAGGCTGGATGGGGCCCTCAGCAACCTCGTCTGTGGAAGGTGTCCCTGCCCATGTCAGGGGGGGTTAGAATTAGATGATCTTTAAGGTCCCTTCCAACTCAAATCCTTCTATGATTCTATGACTTTATATCTTCTTCCTGAACAAATTAAAATAGACTTACAAGCCTTCTTGAAGTAACTCAAAGAGCTCTTTAGCCAAGATGGTCACGGTGCTATGAACACAGGGAACTTGACATCTGCTCAGGAAGGGATGCTCTACCGAAACGCTGTCCTATGTATAGAGACTGAAGGACAAAATTACCTTCTGACTGAGTTTTAACAACAACACAGCAAATGCATATAAACAAACAAATGTGACAGTGATACCCAACAACTGGATAGAAGAAGCAGCTTTTCTTCAAGTTCTGTTTCTACCATCTACTCTATAGACTATGCATATGTATTTACTACCAAAAAATAAAAAAATCAGTTTTGACTGCCCATAGTTGTTTTTTTTTTCTTATCCCTACTAGAGTACACTAGTTGGGCAGCTTTAAGAGGAAAATTACAGATGTGGTAAAGTACCACTAGGGGGTTTGGAAAGAACTTTTCTAAACTTAAGCCCTAGGATCGAACTGAAGTTAACCTGCTGCATGAGAACACAAGCTGGAATAACACCTTTGGAATAACTACTAAAATTTCTGCGTTTAAATGTTTCCACCATGTATTAAAATAAAGTTGCTCACCAATGTAGTGGAAAAAGTTAATAAATCAGTAGTTTTACCGTTTTTATAAAAATGGGTGTGAGAGTCCAAGGAATACATGCAATAAAATGATACAAACCTGTTGTATAAAAGGACAGCATAAAAGGATGCCCTAGATTTTCTTTCCAAGGAAAGTGTTGTAAACAAGGGGTTTTAATACAATTTTAGCTTCTACATGTTTTTCTCTTGCCTGGTTTGGTACGTATATATTCTTCTCCACTTGCACTGTTATCTGGAAAATTGGAATATAAAATAACTCAGATTTTTATATTATGTAGTAATATGCTTTTCTTTTTTTCTCTCCCTTTTTTTGTCTGTGGGTGTTTCTCCAAGTCTGTGAAGCAATGTTGCTTTTTCTTCACCTCTGTATGGAATGACAAATGGCAGCATTACACCAAAAAGTTACTGGAAATGTCACCCCTCAGAGGGACAATATAGCAATGCCCCACCGTGCTTAAAAATAGTGATTCTATTATGATAAAAAAGAAAAAAAATTTTTGTATTAAAGAAGAAACTCGTTAGGATCTAGGCTTTGTAGCTTTTCCTCTCCCTTTTTTTAACCAAATTCTGCTGAGGCCTTTTGAAGATGAGAAGAAAACTCAAATACTACTAACAGCACCGGTGCATAGATGACCTCTTGCAAAGCGTTCAAAATGCTTTTGTTAGTCCTCCAGGTTCACAAATAGAAACAGAAAAAAATGCAGATCTCTGAGGTAAAGTTTGTGTCTTTAATTTAGAACTAAAAAAGAGAGAAAAAAGAAAAGGAGACTATAATTATTGTGAAAACTTACTAAGAAATACATTTTAGTGGAAAATATTTTTGTCTTCAGGAACAATAAACATTTGAGGATCTTGTCTTAAGAGTAGAATTTTTGCATTCAGTGAAACTGATGCCAGACTGGGTGATACCAAAGATCAGGCATTTACGGTTTTGCTCCAAACAACAGAAGCTCAGGTATTGTAGAGTCTTTACTCTTCTTTGTACTATATATTACATAATTTGAAGCAGACAGAAAATATTTGTGCTCTATATTAGATAATCTGAAGCAGGTTGACACAGCTGGATAAAATCAAACACAGAAGTAGAGAGTATTCCATCATGTGAATCTACCAGGATGAAACTCCATGTAAAGTATGTTTTCGTTAATAATTCCATTTTTTGGGGGGGGGGGTTGTTTTTTTTTTTTTTAGGAAAAAACTCCTAAGGAAACATTTCTATTCAATAAAGATTTCTCTTTGATAGCTAAAAACTTCTACATAGAACCATCAGACTGAAATAATGCTGTTGGATAAAATAAGGTGTAATACCAAATACTGTGCTTCAGGAAGATTAACTGTTACTGAAAATGGTCCAAAAGTATCAATTAATTTGCTTCCAAAACATGTTTTCTTGTCTGAAAGCAAAAAAAGTCAGGGACACTTAGGTTTTCTTTTTCACCATATAAATTGAATTTTGCCAGTTTTTCTCATCCTCAAAAAGCCAGATGTACAAATGAGTTATTCTTCAGAATAAGTTCTTTGGGGAAGTTGTTCTGAAGAACAGTGCCAGTACTTACTGGGTAAAAAAAATTATCATGGCAAACTGGTGTGATGCAAGATAAAGATAAATGTAGGACAACACTGCTTTGACTGCAACAAAAGCTATTGAGTTTGAAAAAGCAAAAATGAATCCATTAAAAAGGAGAAACAAACACATATGGCTAAGAATGGATATAAAGGAATACTGCAAGCAAAAAGTATTAATTAAAATTCTAATAAGGCAAAAGACCTACAAAAGCAGGCTATGAAAAGAACAAATATTATCTAAATGAGTTAAATATAATCAGCTCTGTAGCTGATACAATTCACTATAGGATACTTATGGAAAAATCAGAGTAATCTCTGGGCCATAAGTGATTATCTTCAAGAGTTCCTGATGCATTGAAGACTGCTATCGTAAATATTTAAAAATAGGATCAGGAAACATGTGAATTAACAATTCCAAGATTCTTGTGCAAATTATTAGACAATTTATGAGCACCAAAAAGATTAGAATAAACAAATAACTTGTGTTTATCCAGAACATTTTATGAAAAACTTCATAACAGACTAACTGGCCCTAATTTATCCCCTGGCAGCAGAGTTTATATCTTGATTTTAACAAGGCTCTTTTGTCTCTATTATAACACTGGGTATGCTAATTTCATACCACCGAGTTTCTTCATCCAAACACTGTGTGGGCCCAAGTCAGTTATCTACACAAGTTCTAAGAAGTCAGTGGTTACCTCTTTATCAGAACTTTCTGTTGATGTTACAGATAAATGTTATCAAATTCATGCTACAGGATCTTGCTTCTGTTTTCCTATTTGATTGGCACATTGTCACCCACTTTTAGTTCTGATTAATCAAACTTCCATGTAAATTAATTAATTACTCTGCCCAGGATCATTGGTAGGCTGTCAGACCTACAATTATATGTTTGTTATCCTAATGCTACTACAAGATTAATATTTTTCCTGCAGTGTTTCTCTGGTGTATTAAATCTGATTGTATGGGGTACTCCTCTAAACTCTATATCCACTTCATTTGCAGAATACACACTGGACGCACAGGGGAGCAGAATAAGATGCAGCATATAGGAAAATGTTAGTTGGCAAATGTCACATTAATTCAATCACTTTTTTTTTCTCACTTTGACTTTTCATTTTGGTTTGTGGTACAGTTTGTATTCTGCTTAAGGTACTGTGAAGCCACATAGGGAAGTAAAATGGAGCAACAGAGCCCAAGAAGAACAAAGAGCTTGAAAAAATGATAAAATATTAATAGTATTGGTTGGAATGGAGGGAACCAACATATATTATGTCCATTTGTACCAGGTGTTACTGAAGCTCAGGACTGAGGAATTCACATTAAAGTTTATGTAAGCAAAATAAGTAACTAGAAGAGGAATTCAATAAATACAAAAAATCACCTAGATTTACAGTAGTTTGATATTATTGGTGTCCAAAGGGGCCACAGCATCATACTTGATACCCCCAGTTTAAGATAACAAGCTTTTATAGAGTCTTAAGATGCTTTTCACTCCTCTTACTGTAACAGCCTGTAGGCGTTTTGAGTTCACTAGAAGGCCCAAAGTAAGTAGATTGTGATTTCAAAGTTTGGATTTCCATGTAGCTGTAAATCATTGATTTGGTTACTCCTTTTTGTATCATTTGGTTGTTCTGAATTTTCATCTTGAGTAACCTAATTACACAGGTGGAGAACATACACTGTCAGTAGTAAAGAGGAAGTAAAGAAGAGCAACATGAGTCTCTAGCTAGAAATTGTTTTTGCTTAGAGTGGCCCATTGTGTCTCCTTGCAGGCATGGAGGGAATTTGGAAGGATGAGAGAACAGAGCAGCACATTCAGTTGTCAAGATACGGATTCTTTTTCCAATTCTGCTGTGCAGCATCAAGCAAGCAACTTTTCTATTTGTGCTGTTGCTTTTCGACTTTCCATTTCTCTGGATAATTGAGATGAGGCTGCTTTTGCTTCTTAAGGAAATGCAGCTTAGGCAGCTTTCCTATTTGTCCATTTGTATGTGTTTTCATAACTTTTCAGCCTATTGGCTAAATTCATTCTCCCCTCTTCCCTGCCTGAAAATAACGAGTCTCAAAATCCTACAAATTTTGTGAAAATTGGCAGATGAAGAGAGGAGAAAGGACCCTCATTCTCACTAAGCGAAAGGTGAGCTATTTAAAGCCCAAATTAAAAAAAAAAACAAACAACAAACTCCTGGTAAATGCTGAGTTTAATCAGCCAGCGCATACTAGCAAACTGATTAGGACACAGCTAAGGACAAGCAACAGCTGCCCCTTACGAAAGTGGCGGCTAGAATAAAGTTATTAAAAACATAAAGGAATGACAGGAGGAATGATGTGGGAACCAGGTGTTATTATGTAAAAGGGATACAGGACACAAGCCTGTTATAAAATCACCGTTTTCAGTTTAACATGTAAGGGCTTACAAATCCCAAGATTGACGGTGCCACCCTCGGTACTCCTGTGTGTTAACAAGATGACAGAGGCAGCTTTACCCGAGGATGTGAGAGCAGAGCTTCAGGAAACACCTGTTGTGACTAAGGCGAGGGGTGATCGGCCCCCGGCTCCTCTGAGTTATTCGGTCCTTTAGTAATACCCCTCAACACGGAACAGAGAGAAACACGAAGGGTTTACCGAAGGGTGTGACAGGTAGAAACCATCCAGCCGCATATGTGACTGAAGAGAACGGTGTGGTTTGCCCGTGAGGGAGCACATACACACGCTCACACTCGGCTCGCTGCTCCTGCTCCCGCCACCCAGCAGGAGCCCATTTCCTCGCGCTCCCCTCTTCGCATTCCCTGAGGCCGTGCAGCCCCTGGGCAGAGGGGTCTGAGCCTGATCGGTGTGCCGCGAACCCGCACTTCCCAGGGCAGGCCTGGAGGGAGGGATGAGCGGGCCGGGAGGGAGCCGCAGCCGCAGCCGCCCGGGGCGGGGGAGGCGGCGGGGCAGAGGCGTTCGTGCGGCGGCGGCGCCAATAGCGGCGGCCGGGGCCGGGCCGCCTCCTCCCGACGGCGGCGGCGGCGGTCGGGGCCGGGCCGGCAGAGCCCGGAAGCGGCGGCGGGCGGTGCCGGAGCGCGGTGAGCGGGGCCGGGCGCGGGATGCGAGAAGGCGCCGCCGCCGCCCTGCCCCCTGCCCGCTCTCAGCCAGCGCCCCGGCAGGAGGAGGAGGAGCGGCGGGAGGAGCGGCAGCAGCAGTAGGAGCCGCCGCTGCGGGAGCATGAGCGGGGCCGCCGCTAAGCAGCCCCCCGGCGCGGGGTCCGCCGCGGATCCCCCCGCGGAGAAAGCGGCTGCTGCGGACCCTGTGCAGGAGCCGCCGCCGCTGCTGAGCGTGGACGTGACGGGCTTGGTGTCGCAGTTCGCGAGGAGCTTCGTGCTGATCTTCCCCGTGTACATGCTGGGCTACCTGGGGCTGAGCTTCAGCTGGGTGCTCATTGCCCTGTGCGGGCTCTTCTGGATCCGCAGGCACCGCGGCGGCAAGAGCTCCCGCTTGGGCCGGGCGCTCGCCTTCCTGGAGGACGAGGAGGAGGCGGTGCGGCTCAGCGTCTCCTCCGCGGATCTGCCTGCGTGGGTGAGTGGCCAACACCCCTCGGCGCTGCCGGGAGCACCCGCCGGGCTGGGCCCTGCTCCCTCCCCGCGGCGGTGCCCCCTCCCCGGGCTGCGCTACAGGCCGGAGGCCGGAGCCCCAGAGCCGGCCTGGCGGGGAGGGAGGGAGCGAGGGGTGAGGACATGGCATCTCCCGCTCCCCACGGCTGCTCGCCCCGGTTCGCCAGCCTCTCCCGAGACTCAGCGTCCAGCGGCGGGAGCGGGCGGGCAGTGTCCCTTCCCTCCCTCCTTCCCTCCCCCGGGGTGGCCTGTCCCTGTCCCTGTCCCCGCTCCGTCACCCCCGCGGCGCTGCCGGGCGGTGACAGCCCGAGCCTGCCATGGCCGGGGTTTCCCTCGCAGAAATAAACTTTACCGCAGGGTTTGCGTTTCTCTCCCCTCAGGTGCCAAGTGACGCGCACGGCTTGGCTGTGGCGAGGTCTCTGTGCAGCACTCGGATGTCGCGGCTCGGGCCGTTTCTTGCAAAGTTGAGATGAGAGACAGGCAGAACTGGGTTCTTAACGCTGTCAGGGCTTTCAGTAAAGCGTTACCTAATGGAGAGTGACACAGAAATGAAGTGGTGTTTCTGAAAGGTTTCAGGGCTGTGACATGAGGACTGAGGTGCAGGGGCTGCGATGGCTTTATTTGTGCATTGATGTGGTGGGGTTTTTAGAAGGCTTTCTCTGGATCGTCCTCTGAAAGTTTCAGGATTTATAATAAGTCTTCAGAACTACAGGTTTTTAATTTTTTTTTTTTAGTTGAAATCGGGCTTCAAAGTTGAACTCCTTTTCTTTGTAATTCTTCTTTTGGAGGATTAACAGTGTTTTGGATAGGGCTGACAGCCACCCGTCAGTGCCAGTGCGCACCCAGGCCTCCGTGTGCCCTGCACTGGCCCTGGGATGTGCTGTGTGGAGCTTGCTGCTCTCATAGCTTCCTTAGTGAAACAGTGAGGGTTTCTGTCGATTCTTTCTGTGCTTTGTTGAGTACTTTCTACTCCTCAGCTGTAGCCATCCACCTCTCTGCCACAGACTGTTCTTCGCAGTGACTGTGCATCGGGCACTGTTGAGATGATAAGAATCCAGGTAGCTGTTTTCATGCTATCAGATTGCAATACCTGATGTGACCTGTCCTAGCTCTACTTGAGGAAGTTATGGAATAGAATATAGTGGGTAGGTGTCAGATGGGAGTCTTTTACTCCCGCTTGTCATATCTTTCACCAAAGTTTTAGTGGAAGATCACAATAAAAATGAGGATAGTGTGCAAGAGAGACTAAACGGTTTTACCACTTGGAGATGGGCATCTCAAACAATCTAGTTAAAAGCTCTTATGTTAGCTCTGTGTTGTGTTTGGTTTCCTTCCCTGTAATCACGCAGCAATATAGTGGAAGTGTTCTGACGATGCATTTAAAATGAATTAGCTGTAGCTAGATTTGTTATGGAGGGCTGTGTATAGTAACTATCTGCTGGTAACTAAGCCGTAGACATTCAAGCTTGGTGCTGTGCATAAGTTTTATTTTAAGGCGCAATTTGTTACCTTTGATAAAATTGCAATTAATTCCTACGTTGAGTTGTCCAAATAACTAAACATTGAGAAAGGGGCCTCTTGACTGAAATCAGAGGCAAAAAAAATGATAGAGAGGAATGAGTGCTGGCTGCAAGCACCTGCATATACTGTGGCATTGTGAGGAAGCAGCTGATCAGTATGCAGGGTTTCCCCAAAAGTGTGAACTTCTCACACACCAGCTGGCAGAGATATTGTAAATTGTTGTTTGTTGGTTTTGGGTATAGGGTGTTTTTTGTTATTTTTTCCTTCCTCTTTATTCATCTTTTTAAATTTTAAAGATCATGGTTCTTTTCTTTCTGCCGACACATATGCTATATTCTGGAAGTATCATGCTTCCGAATAAATGTAGCTTCCAGATTAAATGCAGTCTGGAAAAGGAAGACTTCTGAAAACTGAAGGCCCACTTAAATCAAAAGTAGTCTTCAATGTCTGCTGTCAGAGTCATTAAGGTTTATATGAGTCTTTCTGCTGCTTCTGTAATATGTCTTGAAAAACTGCTGTTTTTCTTCCTTCTGCAATAGTGTGTTGTCTTGGAGATTCATGGATTTCATGTTTCCAGTAAGAGCTAATGGATGGTATATGGAGCATTACATCTGTTTAATAGGTATCTACTTTATCCATCTTAATGCAAACTCCACACTGAAGTATGTTCCCTTGGTTTCTGGTCAGGGAAATAAACTTTAAATTACTTGAGTAGGGCAGTGCTGTGTTTTAAATATTGGGAACTTATTTTACTCTTCTGAGACAGAAACTGAGATGTAATAAACCATTTTTCAATAAAAGTATGTGACATCTCAAACATTTATTTGACATGTGGTATCTTTCTGAGTCCTTGATTGGAAAAGAGCTTTAGCTTCATGTGTGATTTCCTCCCTACCGCACCTACCTTGGGATTGGCTGCTGCTTTAGTGGTTCATGTTAAGTTCTCAGTAATACTGCATTGAGTTATTTAGTTTTAAGAGTGATTATTTCAGGAGAATTTTTTTTTTTTTGCTGGCAATATGCTCAGTTGCACTTTGAAAGTGATACTGTTGTGCTATCACACTAGAGTTTGTAATGTTAATTATTAGTTTCCTAAATTAGATCTATTTCTTCCATAACCAGGTGGTTATACAGTAGGAATATTCTGTACTGTGCATGTAAAATGAATAAATTCAACATGAGTACAAGGTATGTATTTTAAAATGTCAACACTGAATTATCTAAAAAAAATGTACATGCAAAAAGATATTGCAATTACTGTTTTAAAAAATAAGATCTGTACTCATAGACTTGCTAACATAGTTAAAACTCTACTGCATGTTTGGAAGATGTCATGGATTATATGGGGTGGGAGGGAGCAGACGTGGGTGCTTTTCTAAATAATTTAAAACTAGGCAGCTGAACTTAAAACAAGAAAAAATTGGAGGTCAGAGTAATCTTTGAATTTAAGACATGAAAAAATCTTTACATGAAGACATTTCCCCTTTTCTTAGCAACATTTTATCACACTAGATGTATTTTATACTGAAATGTATGTAATTTAGATGCAAACATATAAGAAAAGTGGCAGTTTAAGTATTGCTACTTACACAATTGAAGGTAGGAAACCAGGGCTCTAAATTTTTAAAGGCCAGGTATCATGTTGCTTTTTAAGACAGTAACGAAATTTCATAATCTAAGTGATATAGCAAATTTACTTTGTTCTTTCTCAGAACAACCAAAAAAGTGAAGCTAATTTTGCCATTTGTGGGGTTTTGGTTGCTTAATGTGACTTTTATCACATGCCAACATATCATGTTTGACATGTTTTTGGGTTAGTGAAACTTTGACTCCTGTTTTCTTTAACATGCAGATAAAAAGCTGTGCTGAATTTGTTTTCTGCAGATTAAATGTAAATTTGGCCTGGTACCAGGAGCTGTATCTGTGTGCAGTCTGTCAGCAATCAGCAGGCGACCAAAATAGGAACAAATCTTAGTATTTTTAAAAAATTGATTCTGAAAACAGATTTAGACAATTTTCTTCATATCCCTAAGCGTGTATTATACAGGAACCAAAATAGTGTACATGACTGTAGTAAAAGTACTGCCATACTAAAACATTCATTACAAGTCTGCTGTGGCATTTTGGGTCCTACAGATTTGCTTAAGTTTCTGCTCTAAACTGGAGTGTTTTTAGTTTTTTTCCCCACTTGTTCTGTTTTGTCATCTACCTAAGAAAAAGGAAAAAGCCCGCCTAAACCTAAATAGGTATCTGCTCATCTTTTTAACTTAACTGATATGGAGTCCTATTGTTAAGAAATTTGCTGAGTCTTCCTTCTTTTGGGAAGTTGTATGAAATTCTTGCAGACTGTGAGTATTGTGGGTTACCACTGAACTGCTGTCCCACCACTGCCCCTCGAGGGAGGAGGTAATGTCAGCATGTACCCTTTTTACTTGATGCTGATATATAACTATATAATCAATACAATAATTATCACCCCATGTTTTGTTGAGTGTTTTTGTGTTGGTGATGCCAAGTAAAGTATGACTTCAGTGGTAGTTGGATGTTTCTTAGTTGAGTGTTGTGTTGGATGTTGAACAAACTGCGAATGTTTAAGGGATGGGAAACTATTCTGGCTAAAAGCAGACTTCAGAAAGTCTGTGTGAAAAAGGAAATTGGGATTTATAACTGTAAAATTATTTGTATTTAGAGTCATGTTAGAATAAAATATGGATACGTACTTTTCTCCCGCTCACCAAACTGTTCCATGAGCTTCCTGACAGATGCTCCAATTTTATGGTTAGAGCAACAAAACCTGTTTTTTATGGGTATTGGGAAGGCAGAGCCAGTGTTTGTGGAAGAAAAATGGTTAGTTAGCTCTAACTGCAGGATCACACCTGTACTGAGTGACATTGGCAGAGAGGGTTGAGGTGATTATGCTCTTATGTGTATTTGATATGAAGATTTCTGAATGATTTAGAATCAAACTTCCTAACTGGATCTTAGATAGTTCAGGACAGGAATCTCCAAAGAATCCCTGCTAATGGACATTAAGTATGTACTCAGTAAACCTGATAAACAAGTGGACTTCTGCAATACAATGTGTGTTTTTCTTT